GTGAGCCTTCCAAAAGACAAGACACGTCACACCATATTACCACAACTTTCCTCTAATAGCTGAGCTTGCTCAGAGTAAAAATCTGGTTCTTTATTGTGGCCTAGAAAGCTGTCTGCGGCCTGACCCATCCCACCTCTCTGCCACCTGAGTCACATTAGCTTCCCACTATTCCATCATCGTGCTAAGCATGTCTCTCCTGAAATCCCAGCGCCCACCATTTCCCTTCACTTAAGAATGCTCTTGCCAGAGATAATTCGTGGCCCAGGTCTTCCATCTCTTCAGAGCCCTGCTCCAGTGGGAATTTAGCCCTGAGGATTTCTGTGACTGTTCGTATAGAATAGCAGACTTCCCCGCTGGCTGGAGCAAACCTCCTACACATTGCTGTATTGTGTTTGTCTCCACAGCATTTACCTTCCTGTAACTCACTCTGATTATTACTTGGTTTTTTATCACCACTACAGTGTAAGTTCTGTAAGGTATGAACTTTATCTGCTTTGATCACTGCATTTCCGGTGTACAGAGGACCTATAAAGGATACTCAATAATTACTTGTCAAATGACTGATAGAAAATAGGGAAGAAATTATCTGTACAGATGCATGCTTTATGTTTCAGAGTTTTGGCAGGAAGTTGAGGTTACTTCTAATTTTTCCCTGAAATTATTCATGGTCTAAGAATGAAGAGAGAGATGGATTTATTGAAGTTTTGGAATGAATGTCTGAAATAGTGGCTGGAAAAAGTGGAAAGTAAACTGATGCCAAGGCACACAAAAAAGTAACTCAGTATGAAGAAGGGGTCAGAGTTAATGACAGTGAAATTATAACTTTACCAGATTATGTTGGGTAATTTTTCTACTCAAGACATATACTTTACTCAGTTCGAACAACTGCGTGAGATAGGAATTATTTGTTACCATCTTGTAGGTACAGCGGTAGGTTACGGACGTTACTTATCCCAAGGCATCCAGCACTCATGTGTGACAGAGCCAAGATGCAAACTAGAACCCATTTGCCCATTAAAGCCACGCTGTTCTCACTCCCCAGGCTCTGGTCAGAGAGCAGACGCCACGGTGGAGAGTAGGCAGAGTACACAGCAGTGCGAGCAGGACACCAGATGGAACATGAAGGGAAAATAAAGAAATTTCTATCAATATGGCACTATTTTAAATATGTGTATTTTTAAGGTTTGATATGTAAGTGGATAATGTACTAGCTAATAATACATGTATTAGTAAACACTCATATGTTAATGATGTAGTCTCATTGTTTTTCATAGAGTGCTACATGGTCAAAAGACTTCCTACTGGTAGGAAGAAAGAACCCTTGCCTGGAGGTTAAAAGTCTTAAGTTCTTCCATGAACAAAATGTAATCTTGGGGTCCTTTTTCAATTTCATTAGCAATCAGACACTCCTCACTTATCAAATGAGGATCATGGGCTTAAATTGACAAACACTCATATGCTAAACATTTTGGAAAAATTGAGTTAAAAAATGAAGAGTAGAGGTAACATAAAAGCTCAGAAATTAGAAGTAGAGTTAACACAAGAAAAATAATGTTAATATTTTCCTGTTCCTGTCGATAGAACATAAGAAACCTGGCATATGTGAATCAAAATTTTTCTTAGTAAGATTGTTAAATTGATGATAGTTTTCTGTCAATATTAAAGTAATATAACTGCATTAAATAACATTGTCAAAACAGAGATGAGGCAAAAAGGAAAAGGAAAATTTCCCATACCATTAATTCAGTCACTTTGCATTTTAATCTTTTTGTAATTATTTCTGTGTAGAGTGTACCTATTACAATTTTTTTTTACTTAATAGTCTATCATTGGCTTACCACCATTTTTAATAACAGCATAATATTTTCAGTGAAACGCTTAATAAATCCACTTTGTATTTTTAGGCTGATCTCAACTTTTCATATATATAATGCTATCTCATTAGCTCTTTCATACATATGAGCTTTATCCCTATTTTATATTATTACCATAATATAAATTCTCAGAAGCAGAATTACTAGATCAAGGAAATTTAAGTCATTTGCCAAGTTATTTCCCAAAAGGGTTGTAACTATTTCCAACATTACGAATTTTATCAGACCCTTGGTACTGCATGAATACAATTCTGTGAGTATTCTTTTTTATTGGATCTTAGTTTTGTTTTCCTAATTTGTAGTATTCTTATAAAATTATATTCTTCTTTACTTGAAAACTATGTATGACCTGAAATCTTGCTTTCTGATAACATTCTCCAGGTTCCTAAAGGAAGGCATGCTCCTTGAACAAATCACTAATTTTAGGGCCACAGATTAGGAAAGGGTGTGAGAAATAGCATTGTAGACAAAGGATCAGCATGAGTAAAATTGCCTTCTCCGCAGTGATCTGATCTTTCTGTTTTGACTATTACATCATTGCAACATCCTTTAGTACTATGCCAAATGGTCCAGAAGCCCAGTGAAGATACCCAGCTACTTTGAGGCCTTTTGATTGCATATGCGCACCTGAATGTGGGTATGTGGGTGTTTTCATTACTTTAAAAAATTTGATAGCACTTTCAGTTTTTAATTTTAAAGTAATGTCATCTACAGGTGCATAATGTCCAATCTAGAACTTTAAGAAAGAACATTTGGTAAATCCCCTGCTAAACCAATGACTGCAGGTCATAGATCAGCAAACAACTTAAATTTTTCTCAGTTCTTGAATTCTATTAATATCTGAAAGGTGACAGTATTTTCATAGTATTAACCTTCCATTGAAGTTGTTTTTCAGTGTAACCTTGAAATAACGGAATGAACCCTGTGGCTTTATTATCCAATTATGAGATAATTTTCCACTCTTTAGAAATGCAGTCACCAACCTTTCGTCTGATTCCAAGACATTTAGATCTGCCTCTTCCCCTGCCCAGCCTGTGGGATCGGGCAGCGAAGCTCCTTTCTAGGCTTTTCCTTGCAATGTTGCCCGTGCCACACAAGCCCTTCTATACATATTGCATTAATCAAAATAATATGTAAACATACTTCATTTTTACTTAGCTGAAGATTTCAGGTAGCAAACTCTGGAGAATAACTGATTGAAAGACTATAATAAACTTCCCTAAAATGAGCCTTCATTTGTTATTTGTACAGTATTTTCTTGAAAAATGACTACTTGAGATATAATTTCAAACACTTAAACAAATGCTGTGAGAATAACAGGAGGACCTCTTAACCTAAAGAATAGTTTTTACAAATACCTTAGCAACTTGTGGGGGTCAGGGATATATAGCTCAGTGGCATAAGTGCCTGCCTGGCAAGCACAAGGTCCTGAGTTCAATTCTCAGTGCCCCCCCAAAAAAGAAAGAAACTTATGAGAAGCCCAACTAATATATTTGCTAATTTAATGCTAGCAAACTTGATATACTTAGTTAGAAAAATTCATACTGTATACGTTTTACACTTGGAGAAAAAAAAATTTAATTTTCTTTTATTTTAATGGATCTGGTTGTTTGTTTGTTTGTTTGTTTGCTTAGACAGGGTCTTGCTACATAGTTCAGGCTGGTCTTGAATTCACTGTGTAGCCCAGGCCAGCTTTGAACTCATGGCGATCCTCCTGCCTCCGCCTCCCAAACGTTGGGATTACAGGCGTGCATCATCATGCCTCACTGAGTCTGAAATTACAGAGGTTAAACAAAAAGTTACGCACACAGGAACACTGTGGTAATTTAAAAATTGTTTATATTTAAAAGCAGAATTTGTTCTGTTTCTTAATAACCTCAGTAGCATCGTCAACCTTTAAACAAAGGTTTTTATTTTTCTGAAAAATATCATGGTTAATTTTCATTGAATTGCTCTTTCTGAGCTAACAAATTTAGATCACCTTTAAAACACTTTTTTAAAAACTAAACTATTTCCTACATACAAATGTGTATATGACATATTAATAATTAAAAAAATAAAAATCACTCGGTCAATATATAAAACATTATTTATGTTTGCCAGGTATCATAAGTATTCCCCAGTTATATGTCTCTGATTCTTCCAGAAGTAATGACTATTCATTTTATGTTAATTATTTCTTATTTTATAGTTGTATCATTTATACATTTATTACCAAATAAAAAAATACATGAATTGTTTTGACTTTCTGGTTTTAAAGTTTTATAGGAATGAAGTAATTTTATACATGTTCTATAAGACAATTTGGTGTTATTTTCAACAGTGTGTTGAGGTTTGATTCCTTGTTTTACACAGCTATAGTTCACTAACTGTAAGTACCACAAGTATTTTTGATTATATTCTACTGCAGCTGCTTTGCATATTATCCTTTGGATGGACAGTGGCCTGAATTTGGTTTTTATCTTTCAAACAGCGGTGCTGTGATTTTCCTTGTCTACGTCTCCTGGAACATGTCTATGAAAGTCCACACAGGACAGACTTTTTGAACTCATGTTTGCTTGTGTACATGTATGTGTGGTTATCAAGTAGGAACACAAGCAATTTTTCATTTTTCTCACAGATTTTTAACTAATGGGACCAATTGACAGTATAAGAAGTAAAATGAACAGTTCTTTTGAGTACTGGACATTTTATGTAACAATTATCCCTATGTTAAAACTTAGTTAGATGAGAAAATGTGTTTTATTGATTTGTTTTTCTTTTTGTTCTTAATGATATTCACATGAAAAATTCATCTATTGAGCCATATGTGTTTTGTGGCCCATTTATCTATTACATAATTAATACTTGGATAGAATGCCACAGCTTATAATCACTTTTGATATTGTGTTCCTTTTGAGTTTCATGAATACCTAAAGAACTTGGCAGAAATACTATTAGTCTCTTTCTTTAGATACATAGTGATCTGAGAGCTTAATAAGTTTGTCCAGATTTGAGCTCTATAACCTCTTTGAATAGACCGTATACCATTAATACTTCATAAAAATACCTGCGGATGTAGCAGCGTAGACCAACATGTTGTCATTCCTTTGGAAGTACTGATTAAAATTTAAATTTATTCCACAGTTCCATCTCTCTTATGCAGAGAAAGAATTGTTGGAGAGAGAGCCAAGAGGAGAAGCCCATCAGGAAGTCCTTAGGCGAGCGGCCAAAGATCTTCCAATCTACACCAGGACCATGTCCGGAGGTGAGCACACACAGTGAACACTTTGGGACAGTCGCCAGAGGGGGTGTTGTGGTGCCCATTTGCACTTACATACCCGACATTGTCAAACACTCATTTTAAAATGTTGTGTTATTTCTTGGATTGCTATTAAATTCTTCCTGTACAATCCTATGAAACAGGATGGAACCTAAATAACACTGTGGCACAGAGCTCTCAACTAAATCAGAGCTGCCTTTAATTCTATTCCTCCTACTTCATTGTGACTCAGTGAAGACGTGCGAGCTGTTGAAATCATGATTTCCATGAGAGCTCATTTTTAAAACTTTGCAGCCTTTAATCATTGTATTTAAGAAAAACATCTATAATGAATATACAGTTATTAAGTCCATTTTTTCATAAACTTGTCACAATAGTTCTATAACTTATGCATCTCCATCATTGAAATTTAAACTGTTTTTTACAAAAACAACGTACCTAATGTATATTTCTTGGGTCATATTTTCCAGATATTTTAACATCTAATTAAACAACTGTCTTAAGAATTGGTGCCCATTAGGTCCAGACCATAAGATCTCTTGATTAAGTAGTATAACCAGAACTTTTGAATATTAAACATGACTTTTCTAAATATATGATTCAGTAATTTCATTTGCTATAGCATTTAATAATTTAATAATGTTTTCTGCATGTTCATGGTGAATTTTAAGTTACAGTGATTATCAGCAGCTGTAATTTAAAAATGAAACTGTGAAATAAATTTGATACTTTTTTATAAAAAACAAAAGAACCAGTGCCCATGAACTATTGAAATGTTGCACCCTTAGACCTGTGCTGCCCATTATGGAATCCACCAGGCTGTTGGGCTGTTGAGCACTTAAAGTATGACTAATTCAAGTTGAGACACACTCTATTTGTAAAATACACAACTGGTTTCAAAGATTTAGTATTAAGAAATGTAAAACTCTCCATTAATATCTTATTTGTATTTGTTTGCCTACATATGTTAGAATCATAATTCTAACATACAGTTTTATCCTGTGTGTTATCCTGTAATTCTCATACAGTTTTATCCTGTTTGTTTTCATCAATCCTCAGTGATCAAAAACAACCTATAAGATGCTGGTGTATTGAAATACATCTCCAAATCAATCATCCATTCTTTGATATTGGTAATGCAGGTGAAAAGATGAGAGCTTCTATTGCAAGAATTAAATTATCTATTGAGAACTGAGTGTGCTGGCACATACCCATAACCCCAGAACTCAGTAGGCTGAGGCAGAAAGATCGCTGGTAGTTTGAAGCCAGCCTGGGCTACAAAGCAAGTTCAAATCCAGCCTGAACTGCATAATGAGAACCTGTCTCAAAAAGAAAAACTATAAACAAGCAAACAAATAAAATTCTCTATTAAAGTACCTCCTTCAGTATCCACTTATAATCTTGTGTCTTGCCTAACAGAGAGTTAGATCTTTCCCAAGTTAAGCAATTAATAGAGTTTATTTGTAAATGTCTAAATTTTGTTTCAACAGTTGCATTCTTTTTTTTTTTTTTTTTCTTTTTGACAAATGGTCACGCTATGTGATTCAGGCTGGCCTTGGGCTCTCTTTGTAGCCCAGGCTGGTCTCGAACTTGCAGCAATCCTCCTACTTCAGTCTCCCAAGCGCTAGGATTACAGGAGTGTGCCACTATGCCTGGCAACAGTTGCATTCTTATCCAGTTATGCTGGCTGGTTGTATTCTCACTCAGTTATGGAGAGGAAATAAGCTTACTTAATCGAGCAAGACATTAAGAGAAATAGACCTATCCGTAAATAGAAATAGCCACATCTGCACAAATATCTGCGCATGCCTGTACTGTAACTACTGATCATCGAGAATGCCTTTGAAAAAGTTCCCCCATCAGGTACCGTTGGGAAACCTCTCCAGAGAACTGTGGCTATAGACAAGTCTTTCTGATGTTTTTTAACAGTTGAATATCTTTTTTTTAAACCAAGTTTAAATTTAGTATGCTTTTTAGAATTTAAATTTGGAGAAATGATAAAAAGCCATTTAATTATGTATTCAATCCCATGTTAAATCTAAGTGGAACTTTTTATTCCTAGCAATCCGATATTGTGACAGATGCCAACTCATAAAACCAGATCGCTGCCATCACTGTTCCGTCTGTGATAAGTAAGGAAATTTTTCTTCTAACATGTCTACATGGGAGTGGTCTTTTATCTGGTCTTTTTTCTACTTTCTAGGTTGTCATCTTTTTTCCTTGTTCATGCTTCACAGATCATTATTAGAAAATATAACTGGTGTAAGCGCTTACTTTTAATACTGTGCTGCATAGGGTCACAGTCAGTTGTCCCTCTTCCCCAAATCCATGATGACATGAAGTACATGATTTTTAGTAATGCTGACTTGGGTAGTTAAATTTAGCAGATTCTTCTTTTGTGAATGTTTTCCATCTTTATAAAGATAATTCATGTGACTTCATGCCAGAGTTGTTCTACATTTAATATGCTATATAAACAAGATAGTTTAATGGCTGAAGAATTGACATTTAAAGGGATAATTTCACCTAGACTGTCTGCAAATCTGTTGATACTTTGAACTTTCTTCAGCATAAGGCATTTGTATATTGACATGTTACATTATTTTTAGAAAAATTTTGATTTGCATTTTAAAGCATGTAAAAATCTACATGAGGCTGGAATTGAAAGTCCACTTTATATGCTTTAAATTTATAACTTGAACAACTATTTCTAAGATAACAATATGTAATATATTAACTAGTGATTTCCTACTGTTTATGTTTTCTGAAATTCTGTATAACTTGTACCCTTTTTATATTTTTTTTTCTCCTTAAATAAAAAAAAAATTTTTATTAAAAAAAAAATCTACATGAGGGGTGATGGTACAGTCAGTACAGGCCTGCAATCCCAGCTATTCAGGAGACTGAGTCGGAAGGATTGCAGTTTAAAGACCAGCCTGGACAATATTTTGGGACCCTGTCTCAAAACAAATGAAAATAATAAAGCTTATTATTATACTGTAAGTAGAAATGGCTGTAGTGTTTATTTTAGATAAAACTTTTACTATTATGCAATTGTAAGTTATGAAATTTTACAGTATTTGCCACACTGTTTGAAATAACAGTTTTATATTTTCATTTTATAATTTAATGAAATTAAATTTTGTGGGTTTTAAATTTTCTTGAGTTTTATGTTTTATTTTTAGATGTATTTTGAAGATGGATCATCATTGCCCATGGTGAGTATGGCTGAAATTCTTGTAAATTAAATCACTTCTATATTTATAAATGACTTTGGTTGATATAGGAAATGCTTTCAGCTTTAGTTTAATTTTTATTTAATTAACTCAGAAGAACTAGCCAGCAAGTTAACAAGATAAAAGTTAATTTTACATGTTGTTGAAAACAAATGGTTTTATGTTTATGTATATATATACACAGATACTAAAATATTCATGAGAAATGTATACAAAATTTATCCACTAACTTTACATAGTAATACCTCAGTAGACTTTTCTATTAAAAAATAAAAGTTGAACTGTTTAAATAAAATGATAATACTTTTGGGAATAGAATAGCAAAAATATAAATACACAGATATATTTAAACATGATTTCCCACTTAGAATTAATTAATGTTTTCAAGTACTTCTAAATCAGATTAGGCAACTTAATAGAAAGCTGTTGGAGTGATCTAATTACTGCAGGCAGATTTTCCTTCTTTTCCCTATAATTTTTCATCTCAATATACACACTTCTGACAGCCATGCTAAGATGACCATCCAGGCTGTTTTGAATATTAATCATATTTATTCTAGAAATGTCATGTTCTTTCAGTGATGGCACTACAGGAAAGTTATGTATCTCCACAAATCTACAGTAGACATAGTTGGATATTTGTTTAGGGAGTGGGTCTCTCAGTAGGAACAGTAGGAAACTGTAGAGTTTACAGTATTCTAGATTTCTCACCTGTATATCTCTTTTTTTCTTTCCTTCGCATAGATTTTCCCCTTTGAAGTGTTAAGACTAGTCAACTCCTGTAAGAATGATGTCCTTCTTAAAGAAAGATCTCTGTAAATATATTTCCTGTGTACTGATTTACATTTGCATTCATTCTTTTGCTTTTCATTCTTTTCTTTCAGCAAGTGTTCCCATTCAATTATAAGTTTTCTTAATCTCTTTGAATCCCCCTGGAAAGATCTCGTGACCCACCTGTGAGTTCACTCCGTCTCCTTTTTAGACACCTGTGATTCTTTGCTTCTCCATCTGACAGCTCTCTTCTACCTCGGTAGCCTATTTAGCTCAGAAGCTGGGCAGTCCAGAGATGCCAAGGCTTTAACACTTTTTGGGTCCCTCAACCAGCAAGGGGCTAGCCAGTAACACATACTTTAGTGGTATTTCTCCTCTTTTTTCATTTTATAAGTTTTTGTTTTTTAATTTTTGGTCAGTTGAGTCCAGGTCTCATGCATGTTAGGGAAACACTCTCCCACTGAACTGTGTCCCCACCCTTCCCTTCGTGTCAAACTATATCAAACTTCTGGTCTAGAGGTCTGCTTTGAGGAACTCAGATTAAACATACTCTATTATGGATTGCTGTGGACTCCATATATTTAATATTTAATAGTGGTAAAAAAAAATAAGTGGCATATGGTTGACTTCAATTTTTTACCAGTTTAATAAAGGATCAGGAAGGGAGAAGTGGATTAGTCAGTATTCATCCCAAACCAATCATGTACTTGTTATACTCACTGTTACAAGCAATTTTCTAAACCAGCTAAGAGACTTGACAGTCTTTGACAGTCTTTCAGAGTTGACAGTCTTTCAGATTTTGACAGATCCTATTAAATCAGTGAAGAAAACAGGTATATAGGACTCTGGAGTTTTTAAAAATACCTGTATGGCGTACTTACATACTGCATTGCACTTACCTGGTAGTGGCCCTGTGGGAGAGGTTTAATGAACTGATTGCTCACTGCAGGCATTTCCCGTGCTGTAACCCCAGCCCTGCCACTGTCTCGACTCTGGCCACTTCCTGCTGAGAACAGTAACCATGTTAATTTATGAAGGGTTTTGTGCCAGGGGCCTAATATTCTGCTGGTAACAGACAGTTGAATGGACTAGCTACTGTTTTAAAAAATTCAAACTGAAATTTTAAGTTAAAACTTGTATAGAGCTGGCAGTATAGCTCTGAGGTAGTGCATATAGGCTTAACATGCGCAAAGCCCTGGGTCCTGTACCCAACAGGGCACACACAGGTTTATACACAACACATCCTTGTGGCCGTAGATCCTAACTCAACTTGTTTTTCTTGCCTACACTCCCCTTTTTTTCCCCACTTACAGAGAACCAATGCTGCTCTGGTCACAGTCACTCAGGAGGTCTAAATGTGTGTGTGTGTGTCCTTTCTCTTTCTAAACACAAATGACTACACTGTAGACTGAGTATGGTTTATGAGTCGCTTCTTTCATTTAGCATATCCTAAATTGTTTCCATGTTAACACATAAAAAGTGTTTTTACAACTATTATGTGAATGTTCTTGATGAATGGACATTAGGATAGTCCCATGAGGCTGCCATTTTCTATCTGGTTGCGAACTTTAGTCCCTGTCAACTTTGAGCATTTGAAATATGAGGTTAAAAAGTGTTTCTGGGTTTTTTTTCCAGTGTTCTCAACATAACTGCTTTGGTCAGTTAAAATTTTACATCGGGATTTAGGGGACTAATCTTACACTTGTTACTTAAAAGTGTTTCTGTAGTATTTGCTTCATGTGACTTTCTGTTGGAAAAGTGTTTCTTTTTTACTATAAATTTTTAATTAATCATGTCAACAATACTTTCTCATGCTTGCCAAAATTAGCAATACATATAAGAGCAAATAATCCTAAGTTTAATTTATTGAGTGCCTACTGTATTCTAGAGAGCAAACATCTATCATCCTTAGAAAAATAAAAAGAACAGGAGAAATAGAAATGATTTGTTCTATTTTAGAGAAGAGGGAAGTCTCAGAAAAGCTATGGGTTCAGAATCACATAGCCAGTGTTTGAAAGGGCACTTTCCCAATGTATTACTTTGTTCTTCAAGTTTAGCCTCAGGAAGCAATTAGCCTGAAACAGCCAACAGCTGAGCTCCTCACTGAAAACAACATGCAAAGGTCTTTACCTTGAATGTGTCTTGTTTTGTTTTTACTGGTACTGGGGATCGAACTCACGACCACCTGCTTACAAGACAGGTGCTTGTGCCACTGAGCTAAATCCCCAGCCCCTGTGTCTTGTTTCTTGATATGAAGTCATTCCTTTGCCAGATGGAGAGAGCTTAGATTCAAAATGAGTTTTCTTCTTTGTCAAATTGACAAAGCAGTAGGCCACAAAAGTCTAACCAAAAAGCTGCTTGTTATGAAGAACATGAGGTACTGCTCAAAATAAGTAAAACTACTCTATTTCCTCTGGTAATACACGTCAAAACTCTTTCTATATACATATCAAACTAAAATATTTGATCTTTATTAACTGACTTTGTCCTATGTTTCATAGCCCAATAAGGCAAATTACCCATCATCATTTGAAACAGCGTCTGCTTCTTATATTTTTATAGGAACAGAAACACTCTGCATTATCCATGTCAATTCTCCACAACAGTCTTTGTTTACTCCTAATTGTTCAGTCTTATAGCACCTTCTTCTACCCATTCTTTCTTCTTGAAACTACACAGATAACCAAAGACAGTAAGACACATCACAATTAGACTAGGCTCATACTCTTTCCAATATTTCTTGCCATTATTTCATTCCAGTGCTAAAAAGCAGTCTCAGCAAGTGGTTTGCATTCTCCTTGGAATTTCCAGAGCTGCTAATACATCTGTTTTCATACAATGTACAACCACGATTTTTGGCATCTTTATGAATTCTTTTTCCATAACCAAGACCTTTATATACAAAAATTACTAAATCTAAAGCTATTCCCTTTGTGATTTTTCATTTTTCCTCTTCTCCTCCTCTTTTTCCTCCTCCTCCTTTTTCTTTTTCTTTTTCTCTTTCTTTCTTCCTTTCTTTGGTACTGGGAATTGAATTCATGACCTTGCATTTGCCAGACAGGTGCTTATGCCACTGAGCTGTATCCCCAGCCCATCCCTTGGTAATTTTTGAGGCAAAAAATAAACATTTTTTTCATACAGACATAGTTTTATTTTTAAAACCTAGGAAGAAAAATGTTTCTTTTTATTACCAAAATCCAGAGAGATTATTTTACCAGCATTAGAGTGGGGATAGGACATTTGAGCAGAAGAAGCAGTATGTGTATATTATATGCAGTAGCTTCATTATACTAGTTAACAATGTAGTAATTCAGTCAGTGATACTGCATCACATGTATGCAGGGTCAGCTAGTAATGCCCTTGCCTTTGTGAAAAGGAAAAATTTTGAGAGTGACCATAAAATGAGTCGTTTTTATATTTTTATTAATTAACATGATGGTACAATTTTCACCATCCCTACCCACCATATAATGATTTTAGAGTTAGAATTTATAAATGCTCATATTCAGTGTCATAGAATATGGAGCTGAATATCAGAAACCATCTCAAAGTGCTTATTTTATAAGTAAAAAAAATGAAATTCTAAGAGATGGCCGCATAGTTATCTATTGTCTGGGCCACGTAATTATCTAACGTCAAATGTGCGTAGTAACTCTTGCTGTCTGGCTTCTAGTCCTACTTCTTTTCTGAAACTTCCCACTTAATATGCTTGGACAGTTTTCAGTAATGACCCACAAGAAGAATGTGAAGGTGGTTCATCAAATTTGGAGATTTAATATATTTTAATTTAATGATAGTTGGAAATTGAACCCAAAGATAACAGAGAGGAAGGACTTAGTGAATTCCTGTAATCTGCCTGACTCACGAAGTCTATCGAAGTCTATGCTTTTAGGCATCTTCTTACTTTTAGAATGGGACATGAAATATCATTACATTAATTAAAGTTGATTAACACAATACTACATATCATATATTGAACATCTAAACATAGAAATTACTTAAGCGAAGTAATTTGTTTTTATTGTTTACATGTATAACTTTTACAACTTACTTTTAAAAATGCCAGCATATTTAAAATGAGAGAAAATCAAACACTATGTTACGTTTGAGTGTGTTTATACCTAAGCTAAGGATATATAACTTATTAAGACTACTTTTGTTTTGTTGGCAGGGTGAACAATTGTGTTGGATTTTCAAATTATAAATTCTTCCTCCTTTTCTTGGCTTATTCTCTGCTGTACTGCCTTTTTATTGCTGCTACGGATTTACAGTATTTTATCAAATTCTGGACAGTAAGTCACTACTTTAGTGCCTTTTGTTAAGTGTACAAAAATGTATACTATAGATTTTCATCAATGAATTATTTCCGACACTGGCTTTATAGAACTGAACTGATTTATGTAGTCAGTCCTTATTAGTTGCAGGTTTTGTGTCTGTGTATGCACTACCTCCAAAACTATCAGTAGCTTCCAAATCAATGCACAGAGATATAATCACGGGGCTGAAGATGGCCTGCAGACATCTGATTAGCGAAACAATCAAGTGCTGTAGGTGTGCTTTCCAGAGTGAGGTAAAATAAGGCAGGGCTCTACCTTCTTGTTTTAGCTGTTGTACAGTAAACAAAAGTGTGCTCTTCACGGTCTATTTGGTGCCCTTTTTTGTGCTTTTTGTTCATTTTGTTGTTGAAAATTGTCTTCAGACATCATGCTCTCTAGTGTTTCTAAACAAGACTGATGTGTCTGATAGAGGAAATATATGTGATAAAGCAGCTTCATTCAAACATGAGTTATAGTGCCTGGCCATGAGTTCCATGTTAATGAATCAACACCATGCATTAAATAAGGCACCCTTCAGCACAAAGACATATTAAAACAGGTTGTGGGTTGACAGATGATCAAGATATGACAAGATACTTGCAGGACATAACCCTCTATCTTCCCTAGAAACAGTGGTTCAGTATTCACAAATTAAGTGTTTATGGCAAATTTGTAGAACATAACTATTGCAAGTAATGAAAATTGACTGTATACACAGATTTTTTCAGTATTTTCAAAAAAAGTGTTTTCATGTGTAGGATTACTTTAAAACCTACTGATGTCCTGAATTTTTATTAGCTATTGCTTTATTAGGCTTTAGATATTCAAATGTTTTCTGCACTGTATTTTTAGGTAAAGGCAAAGCAATATTAAAATAGAGTATTTTAAATGACCTGTGATAGACCTTGAAAAGACCAAATGATGGTTGAAAAGCCGTTTGTCCTTTGCCAAGATTGCTTCCTCATTTTCATTAAATTATCTTTAATTATGGTAAGACCAAATTGTTAGATTATGTGTATAAGATCTGAGTTAAATTTGATTCCAAAGAGTTATCAAATGTTTACTTTGTGTCGGTTACATTGCTAATCATTAGGAATACACAAGTGAGTGGCTATGGGCTGAGGGTTCAGAGATAAGGCCAGCCTCCAGCTTGAAGGATGATCCCTAAGGAATGTATGGAGAATATTATTGTACTGCACCTCATTCCTGTGGGTGGTTTTCATTCTAACCCACAAATACATTTGGAAAGGAATGACCAGAGTTTCCATTGTCTACACCTGTTACCAAAAGCTACCAGTGAGATCTTGTGTCCTATGTCAGTCTGACAGGGACAAGAATTGAAACACCACGACTTTCTATTAGATGTGGCTTCTCCCTGGCAGGTCTAGTGCGTCACTAGGGATCCATTGTCCCAAACCCTGCAGCCCAGAACTCCCTGGACAAATAGTAAGGGTCATGTTTGCTTTGAAGTGGCCTGTTTCAGCCCATGGATATTGCAAAATTTACTTTAAACAGGCGTTATTCACTGCACAGTAATGTTGGTCTCTTCCTTGATACTGTCATTTAAAAGAGTTTGAAGTATTATTGTGGCTGCGTTGCTGTATGTATTCTTTTAGGTGATGCTATTGTCTATAATAATATAAAACTTCAGGGAGAATAGCAACCAAATTAGGCCATTAAACTTACATTGTGTGAAATTATAATAAAACTAAACATTTGTGAATCTTAAGTATGTTAGCAAAACATGTCCAAGTAGTAAATTTAAAACTACCTTTTATAGTTTATCTTGTCTCCTACTGTTACATTTTATACTAACCAAATATATTTTTCAATAATTTATTTATAATAAATATTTAAAATATAATATCCCACATTTCAATCTTTTTCAGTTATATATTCATATTCCACTATACATTTAATTGAATGAAATAGATATGTTTTAACATGAAACTGTGTGTCTGTTTTCCATATCTAAATTTAATAAAAAAAAAAATTTTAGCCAAAAGAACTTATTAATTTACGTTTAAATTTGACAAAGCATTTTATTTTCTTCCTTTTTTTTATAGAATGGCCTACCTGATACTCAAGCCAAGTTCCATATTATGTTTCTATTCTTTGCTGCAGCTATGTTTTCTGTCAGCTTGTCTTCTCTGTTTGGCTATCACTGTTGGCTAGTCAGCAAAAATAAATCTACATTAGGTGAGTATCTAATTATTGTAGTTGACAGAACCTCAAATACATACATAGGTATTCAGTGACAGTTATCCTATGATTAAACAGTAGCCTGTCCTGAAGTGGTAAAAATCGTCGTGGTTATCTGTGTTTTATTGTGGAGTGTTACTTAGACACATGTAAATTCCTGCATTCCATATATTTATTGGTCATCATTGTGTGCAAAGCATTATGTATGTACAGTGGTGGGCAAGGGCAAAACAGTCTATTGAGGGGCACAAAAATTAATTTAAAAAACATAAAAATATGAAATGCAGAGTACTTTGAGTGAAACTGTGAATACTGAAGTATGAGTAAAAGGGTGGGGATAATAAAGGTCCCTGTTTAGAATGTGTCGCCAGAGAAGAGCTCACCTCAACAAGAACCTAGCCTAAGAAGTCAGCCATGGAAAAAGCCAGACCCTTTTGGGTACAGGAAACAGTATCTTCAAAAGCCCTACAATGACTGGAGGCAGCAAAAGTGGCTCTAGAAGGAATTTGTGATTGTAAATGCCCATATTTTAAAAAGAAGAAATATCTCAACCAATAATTTACAACTTATGGAACCAGGAAAATAATACCAAAGTAAAACCAATTGGAGCCAGCCGAAGGAAGGAAATAATAAAAATAGGAGATAATAGAAATAAAGAGTAAAAATATTATAGAAAATCAATGAAATGGATAATTAAAGATATCAGAAAATTTGACAAAGCTTAGTGAGAAAAAATACGTATAGGTTCACTACATAAATTAGAAATTAAAATGGGGACATTACTACTGACTTTACAGAAATAAAAAGGATTTTAAGAGAGTACTATGAACTGTTGTACAGTGGTACCTTGGTTCACAAACTTAATGTTTTCTGCAGTTTTAGAAAAGATGACCATGTTTGCATTTGTGTGGGAAAGATGGCCATGGTTGTATTTGTCACCAAATGTAGAGTTTACAAACAAAAACTAAATTTTACCAAATGTTTGTTTGTGAACCAAATGCTTTGTTTGTGACCAAACTGTAAACAAAAGCATTCATGAACTGAAGTACTACTTCATCCAAAAATTAGGTAGACTAAATGAAATAAACAAATTGCTAGAAACAAACTACCAAACTGACTCAAGAAAAAAATTGAAAATCACAGATTGGTAACAAGAGATTGAATTAGTAATCAAAAATCTCAGAACAAATAAAAGTTCAGGATTCAATAGTTTCACTGTTGCAGTCTACCAAATATTTAAGTCATTAACCCCAACTCTTCTTCAAACTTTGCCAAAAATTAGAAGAGAATGTAATACTTCCTAATTCATATTATGACACAAGTATTATCTTGACACAAAAGCCAAAGACCTTACAAGAAAACAATAGACCAATATCCCTTATGAATATAGATGCAACAGTCCCTAACAAAAACACTAGCACACCAAATTCATCAGAATATTGAGTGGACTATACCCTATGATCAAGTGAGATTTATCCTAGGACTACGAGGTGGCTTGATGCCTAAAAGTCACTTGTTATTTTTTGTTTGTTTGGTTGTTTGTTTTTGTACCAAGAATCAAACTCACAACCTTGTGTTTGCCACGCATGTGCTTGTGCCACTGAATTATATCCCCAGCCCCATGTCTAAAAATCAATCAGATTGTGTAATGCATTAATATAATGGAGAAACCACATGATCACCTTAGTCAGGACAGAAACAAGTATTTAACGAAAGCAAACACTCTTTCCTACTTAAGAAAACACATGGCCATAGCAAACTAAGAGTGGAAGGGAACCCCCTCAGCATGATAAATGGCATTGTGAAAAAACTTCAGCTAGCATCATTTAATATCAAAAACTTGGAGCTTTCCTCTAACATCAAGAGCACAAGGATGTCCTGCTTTACTGCTGTTTGGGATTGTACTGCATATCTAATTGGTCAACAGAAAGAAATAGAGGCACCCAAAACAAAGAAGTAAAACTATCCCTATCCACAGACAATATGATGTCTTCACAATTTGGGTGTCTTCACAAGGTGTGATAAAAAATAGAGTGAATGCTGCTGTTAAGTGCCATCCAATGGAAAACCAGGTTCGTGAAAGCATGGCGTATTCTTACCCATCTGACTCACTGGCTCAGCACCGTGCAACTTACACCTCTTCTCCAAAGTCAAAAACAAATGAGAAAGGTTTTGAATCGATCAAGGTCATTGAGGCAGTCATGACAATGCAACTTCAGACACTCACAAAAGAGGACTTCCAGAGTTGCTTCAGAAAGTAGCCAGCATGCTGGAATTCGTGTTTGAAGTTAGGGGAATATGTTGCAGGATTAATGACAGTGTGTCTTTTACTATCGTAAAAATTGTAAACATTCATTAGTTTCTACTACACCATGTATTTCTAAGTATCAGTGAGTAGGTGTGTGCTTTATTCACATGATTGCTTTATCATTTCTTCTTAGAGGCATTCAGAAGTCCAGTATTTCGACACGGAACTGATAAGAATGGGTTCAGCTTGGGTTTCAGTAAAAACATGCGACAAGTTTTTGGTGATGAGAAGAAGTATTGGTTGCTACCCATTTTTTCAAGGTATTTTGCTATTAAAGTTTTCAGGTTTTTAAACTATAGTACTTCAAAAAAATAAAAAGACAATTTCAGGAAACATCTCTTGTTCCATAGGTCTACAGTTCTGCATTGTAACTTCTAATTTTAACGTCCATCTTTGATTTCCCCTCATATCCACATGAAGGTCACTTAACTCTTTGTTACCCTAAATAGTGCCCTGAAGCCATGTGTGATCTGCCTGTTTTCCTGTTTTCTCTTAGGCTTTCACTCTGTTGTCTTTTGCACAGTTCAGCTGTCTTTGTTTTGATTATAGTCTAGGCGATGGCTGCTCCTTCCCAACTTGCCTTGTCAACCAGGATCCTGAACAACCAGCTACTCCTGCAGGACTGAATTCAACAGCTAAAAAGTAATCCCACCGCTTTTTTGTTATTGTTTTATTTATTTATTTGGGGGGGGGTACCAGAAATCAAACCCAGGACCTTGTGCTTGCCAGGCAGGCACTGTGGCACTGAGCTATATTCCCAGCCCCTGTTGTTTTATTTTCAAATAATGCATTTTATCCTCTTATGTCCTTTGGATATGTGTTCCTTTGGAGAAAAAAATCTAAGAACATGATGTGGTTTACTACGGTGGTTTCCACTTAGAGTGAGGGAGGTAAAAGAGTGTGATGGGGCAGCGTTAACAGTGACTTTCAATTAGTCTTAAAATCTGTTAATAGTCCAGGACAGTGAGGACGAACCTTTTAGAGACAAATGCCCAAACTGCAACCCAAAACTCACCTTCTTATTGTGAAGTGCCAACACAGCAATTTAGTCTGAATTCTGACGTTTTAGCTTAGAAGAAACAACTCATCTATTAATATCTTTTGCTGCTATTAAGCCTGAATACTAAAGTTTTAGTTTATAAAAGAACAACTCATACATTAATATCTTTTGTCTTAAAAAAAAAAGGGGGGGCTAGGTTAGCCACTCCTGGTCTAGGTGGTGAGTAAATAGGAGTCAAGTCTGTGTATATTTTAGCTGATTGAAATACAGTATGATTTTTTAATGTGGCAGTGAAAACAGTGTAAGTCAAAATTAGCTCCCTACTGCTGCAGTGAGCAGTCAGAGTAAAATTCTCCTTTGGCCTCTGTGTCTTTTTCATTCTGACAATTTTTGAAAAGATCAGAAAACCTTCTTGGTTGAGGCCTTTGGAGATCAAATGGCCCCCACACACCTGTTTGACAGCGCCATTATCAATGTGCACTGTGTCCTTTGTGCTTTTCAGGAACTTCTGAACATCTCTGAGACATTTCTTTTGTGTGTGTGTATGTGAAGACAGAAGAGAAAAGGATCTTGGAAAGTCATTGTGTAGAGATTTTTGCTCCACATTTAAGCTTTCTTTTAAATTCTACTCTATCTTAAAATGGAACCAAAAACTGAAATTTAATGCTGACTACTAACTGGGAAAAGGCACAATTGCTTAAACTTTTTGAACACTATCTATGAATTTTCAATGGATTTTACATCTTTACAACAGATTTGCTTGAGTATGATCCTACTTCTGATTTTTAAATTAAAGTAAGAAAAGCAAAACTATAGTATCATTCTTTATTAAATTCTAGAGATTTTCTTAGTTGCTATAATATCTCATACACAGGACCCTTCCCAATCCTTCTCTTGTCCACCAAATATTTCTTATCAATCATAATGCTTTTTTTTCTTTCTGGAGCCTGGAGTGAGCAAGAATCCTTTGCAATGCACTTTTCCTGCAGCCATTCTAAAATCATTTTAAATCGTCAAAAGAGATACAGCGCATTTGCCATTCCATTGTTAGAGTCAGCTGGCTACGGGCAAGACTCTTCCAGTTAGTGAAGAGCCCATTCTGATGTATTTCACAGGGATGTTCAAAGACATCATGGTTTTTTACTGAGTCGTGCTGTATGAGTTTTGGCTTGAAATTTCCACAAAGATAATTGTTAATATATTTCATTATACTTAAATGCAGGGAAAAAATCTGGCTCTAATAAATTATTAAGATATATTTTTAAGCTTTTATAAAATTTAGTAGTAATTTATGATAATATTTCTTAACCCTTGTTAAATGGTTTTTTTAGTTTACTAACTTGTAGATTTCAGAGATCACATAACTACTTTCATCATGGAATGTCATGGGGTTTGGAGAAAACTTAGTTTTTGACCCTTTACCTAGCTAGGTGATCTTAAAAAATTCAGATGGCTTTCTAGCCCTCTCTTTTCTTTCCTTTAAATGTGGAGGTTAGGTTTTGACAGCTAAAGTCTCTTTCTGCTATAAAATACTATAATGGTTTCAAAATTTCTGTGGCTAGTACTGCTGTCACTACTTCAGTCCTATCCATGAATTTTTTTGCAAAAGGGCAGGGGGTCTAGAGATGGAGGGAAAGAGGAAGGAAGGGAGGACAAAGGAAAAGAAAAAGATTTAAGATATGTGCATTACCAGCTCTCCAAAATGAATGTAATTATTATGCACTGCAAACAAACATGCACTAATAAAACATTTTTAAAAAATCCTCTCCAGCTGAACAGAATCAAAGCAGAACTTGGAATTTGATTCCCAGCCATTTATATACACATATAAATCTGATTCTTTTCCACTTGTCCATAAATCAATATTAGTGGCCTCCATTCTCCCAGATGGTCAGGGAGAAACAGAAACAGTGAATTATCTTCAGTTTCCTCTGTAAGTTACCTTGTACTGTATTTATTCCACCTGGAATTCCTATTGGATCACCCTTCAAAATACACCTATTATCTGATTACCTTCTTTCCGCCTCTGTAGCGCCTTCCTCATCTAAACCATCATCACTTCTCACAGAGGTAATTTCGGCAGCTTTCTAACTGCTCTTCCCAGCTCTGGATTTCACCACTAAGAATGAACTGGAATTGTGTCACTCTGCTGCTCAGACCCTGCAAAGGTTGCCCATCTCATCTATATATTTTAGGAGGCTGAAGCCTGTCCTTACCACAGTTTACAAGACCCTGTCTGATTAGACCTGAGACACCTCATTGCTTCACACTTTTTTGTTATTTATAATCCTCAGTCATACACACTTACAGTTTCTCAAGTACCTTATTTAGTAACTTTTTAGTTGCAAGTTTCCCATTTCCAACAGTTTTTTTTCCGGGTATCTTACAGTTGTCAATCCTCTTCCTAAGAGTTCTTTCACCAGATACCTGAATGGTCTATCTTCCCTTCATTCACTTGCAGCCTAAGTGTAACTTCACGCTAGAGGCAGTTTTTGATAACTCTACATAAAGCAGTGGCCCGGCTCCCCTGCTTCGCTTTATGCTCTTTTTCCCCCATCGTTAAGATCTTATTGTTCCCTGACTTGTTATATATTTAATTTGTTATTTTGCCTCCATTACAATTAAATTTCCATGAGAACAGAGTGTTTATTGATATCAGTTCTCAATAAATATTGTTGAAAGAATGGATCTTTGCCAGTAGTCCTGTTAGCAGAGGATGTGCAGGAAGCCCCTAAGCCAAGACATAGGTTATATTCAGTACCTGATCTGTCCTTCTCTTGAGAAATAATAAGAATTAAAGTAAAAATTAAAGGGCTTTTCATTTTTATCTTGTTGACTTTGTTGTTTTTCGCACAAATAGGCACAGATATGTGGTTGTGCTCTTTTTTTTTTTTCAGTATTTACCTCCAAAATTTTAATAAGGAGCTACTAAACATTCTAAATTTTCAGGTGTAAGATGATTATTAAGAAACAAAAGCTTATCATTATAACCTTAAAAATACATCAACTACAATACATAAAATTATTTTAGAAGAATTTCAAGTGTTTTTTTCTTTTGAATATTATTATAATTACTATTTCAGAGTGTTCTAAAATTTCACTAGTGTCCATGGTGATTATTCCTAAGTGAAATATTATTATATTTTTCTATACCATTCAATATATTGCAATGTGGCAGATCTACCGCAACGTTAAAACTTGAATTTTAAACACAGTTTTTTCAACACTTACTCCCAAAACTAAACACGTTTTATGAGAATTGATGTCAGATATTTACAACAGTCCTGCAAGATAATGTCCCAATTTGTTGTTTGATTTATGCAAAGAGATAGAGAATTATTTGTTCAAGACCAGTTAGGTCACTTTAAAAACACTAGATATTTTGTCTTCAAATATGTCTTCTGAGTGTCAGCTCTATATTTTTTCCATATCTGCACATCACTTACTTCTTTAATAATTTTGTTTAGAGAGCTGCGGATTTAGCTCAGTGGCATAAGTGCCTGCCTGGCAAGTACAGGGTCGTGAGTTTGATCCCTGGTACAAAAAAAAATTTTTTTTGTTTAATATAGTTCTTTAGATTGGCATTTAAAGTTCTTTAAACAAAACTTTATATCACTGTCATAAATGAGAAACTAGTATAGTTTGCCATAAAGAGAATGTAACTTAAAATATAAAATTGATAATAAAATAATGTTATTAAGTTATAACAGATTTTCTTACTTGCTAACATCTGAGGCTGAGGCATATTCTCTGTGTTTGGAAATTTTTGGAATTAGAGATTGTCTAATTTTTGTGAGTTAGAGATTATCATCTTAAAGAGGCTGAAGATAGAATATTTATCTCATTGTGAGTCAGTATTATTTAATGTTTTCTTCTTCTAGTCTCCATATTATCTTGGGTACTTTCTGTAATCACCTTGTAATCCATAATTTCCAGTGATTTCATATCCATATGTTGAAAAATATTTAACAGTGCTACTAAGAATTAACTTGTGATGATAATTATTATTTATCAGTCCTGAAAACCATCAATTTCCTGCAAAGCCATTGAGAGAGTCCCAGAGCCACCTTCTTACTGATTCTCAACCTTGGACAGAGAGCAGCACACATCTAGGAAAAGGCAAAGCTGGTAAGCATATGCTTCTTGGGCCATCTTTTGATATGTTTTATTTTTAAAAGGTGAAAAATTCCAAATGTTACCTAGGAATTTGTTTTTTGGAATCACATTTCCATTGTAAATGTAGAATTATTCTCAAAGAATTTCTGTTAGCAGTGGAAAATCACTTCTTTAAAAAACAGTTCTACATTTTTTTCCAGTTTAAAGAACCAAATCTTTATTGGTATATACTTTTAAAAGATAGAAATATATAAAGTAAAAAATTTAAGCCAGGCATGGTGACACACGGCTATAATCCCAGCATTTGGAAGCTGAAATAGAAGGATTGCTGCAAATTTGAGGCCAGCCTAGGCCACATATTGAGTACAAAGCCATTTTGAACTACATAGCAAGACCTTGTCTCAGAAAAAAAACAAACACAAACAAAAAAGATTGTATAATTACCATAACTTAGCCTGCCTGAAGTTTTTTCATGTCTCCATTACATTTCTCTTCTTGTGTTTGATTTTCATCTTTTGATTATTTCAATCAATATAATGTATTAGCCAAGAACAAACAAGACTTTGAAGTCAGACCCAAGTACAAATTCCAATTTGGGTACCTATTAGTGTATATGTGTTACGTAACATTTTTTTAGATTTAGTATTTTTCTCTCTTGTTTTATTTTTTTATTTTTACTTTAAAGAGGATAAGACCAACAAAAATAAAACAGAATAAAACCAATCAAAATAAACCAGTATAAATGATATAGGACTTCAAAACCTTACAAAATCAACAGTAGTTACCATAGATGCCTTTTGTTGTCTTCAAAATAGCTGCAGATACCTTCAGACAGTAAAAATCAAACAGAACAGAATAGAATAGAAACAATAAAAACAAAACAATGAATGCAATAAAGAACATCAAAACAAGCTAGTAGTAAATCTAAAATAGCTACCATGAGATGGCTTGCTATCTTTTAAGTAGCTACTCATGCCATCAGATTTAACATAATCAAACAAAACAAAAGAGAATAAAACACGACACAACAACACAATGAAAATGATATGGTTTCCAGGCGGAGATCACTTCCTGGTGAGGCCTGGTTCTCTCCTCCCCAGTCTGCAAATGTGCTGATTCTCCTATCATCTTTTTCTTTAAAACCTATTTTGCAGGGTAAAGATTAAGCAAAACAATATGGTTACAATGCAGATGTGTATAGCTATGTGCAGTCTCTATAAATGAGCTCAAAACTGTACATCACAGTTCAGGCTTTAACAGCCAAAGAATCTCCAGACTGACTCATTTTACAGCTTTTTCAGACATTTTCTTCTGGATTTCTAGTCTTTTTTTGAAACCCACCTTCTGCTGACTTGGGCTCACTGTACTTTCAAGTCATAGAGGGAAGCGAAGAGTTGGTCAGTAGCATAGTAAAAGGTAATAGGAAATAGGGAGACAGAACTATCTCAGACGGGAAGGGGACCAAGAATGGAGGGAGGTGGGAAAGACAGGAGGGGAAGGGAATGAAAACAATTAACAAATATTATATATGTGTGCCCCACAAAGAATAAAAAATAAAAATTGAAAAAATATCTAATATGTGATCAACCTTAGTTTCCTAAAACACAAGGTTTCTTTAAAAGGTATTATTTTGGAACAATATATTTGCCCTCTAAAAATCCTTACAGTTTGAGTGTTCATAGCTTGGTCTCTCTTTTTCCCTTGCCCATCCATGCTGAGCACGGGGCATGGCGTGGACAACACTTGATGATCCCCATTTGCCCTTAAAACCATCATTTTCTCAGAAGCAAAGGAGATGTGGAGTTGGGGATCATGTTGGGGGCTAAACAGCTCCCTTTCTTCCAAAAGGGACGCGTGTGTTATCTTACAGTCTATGCTAAGTGGTCTCTTGATTTTTTTTATGCACTCTTATTTGTCATTTATAATAATTTTTCCATGTCAAGGGTGAATGGAGAAACTAAAATTTAAAGGATGGTGTAACGGAAGGGAGGAAAACATGAGAACAGAACTAGAAAGGGTTTAAGGAGGTTTGACTGGAATGAGATAGAAGGTAAAAGAATGAGGAAATGAGATGTGACAAAGCCTGTTTGGTGTATCTTTTGTTATTTGGCTGCCTTCCTTCTCCAGGCGTGTAGCTCTGTTTTTACCACTCTCCCCTGCTTCCTCCCTCTCTGTGTTACTTGCTGGGACACTGTACACTGCATAGTGTTCGTATTTCTATAAACCATCCTGCAAACATCCATCCTATATATGTGGCACCTTTGCAAATATTCAGGGGTTAGTTATTAATGAATAAGTGAACTCTGCCTGTGTTCAGAAACAATAAAAGCATGGTAATGTACGCTCTATTTTTAAGGTCTGAGCAATCCTGCATTAACCATGGAGAATGAGACTTAAATCTTCAAGAAAAATAAATTCACATTTTATAAAAGTAAGATAAGTGTTTTCTTTATGGTTATATTTTATGTTTTTAATAGTTTTGCAATTTTCTTAGTCTTGTTTCCATAAACATTAGTTTTGAGTGACTCAGATGTTCTTCTTGACCTGTGGAATCGTAGAAGTCATGGGGGGGCCTCTCCAGATGAACCTAGCCTCAACAATAGCTAGTATTTACAGGAACGTGATAAACTACTCAACTAAATTGCTAGACGTCGTAGTGCACACCGATAATCCCAACACTCTGGGAGGCTGAGTTCGAAGGCTGCTTGCGCTACAAAGTGAGTTCAGACCAACCTGAACTACCTAGTGAGACCCTGTCTCCAAAAGAGCCAAAGTGGGGAAGGATTTAATTGATGAAAAAGGTCGCTTGTGTAATTTTTCATTAAATGGCAAGTTCAATCCTAATTATTGAATATTATATGAAAACTATTGTCATTTTTCATTTCATAAGATCATAGAATTTATTATTTGAATAAATAGTCATCCTCTTTGACTACCCATTAGCAGAATCTTTTCTGATAAAATAATTATGTCTTGTTAGCACAAACTATTGTCATCCCAATTCTGTCACAGTAAGACCTTATATCATGTGTTATCTTTAAAATAATAGATAATGTAGAGTCCATTCAGACTGATCTGGCAGCACGTTGGAAGCCATTGTAGAACCTTTGGCCTCATACGAGACCTGTTGAATCACAACCTGCATCTTAAAGTAGATTTTAGTAAGATCCTACTTGTGTATGCATTTTAAAGTTTGAGAAGCTTTGATCTGGAGGCCTTTATTTAAAAACATATCTACCTAGCCTTCCAGCATATAAAACAATTTTGAACAAGGGATGTAGGTGCTTACAACAAATAATCAATGAAGTTAGTTTGATTTTGTTTGCTTATGGTTAGCAATTTGTTTTATGTCTTCTGTTTCATTTCCAGATACCAAGCTGTACAAGAATGGAAGAGGCTTCCCACAGGAAGGTGCCGTTGGCCAGTTGTTCCTATATTCATTCGGCTGGATGGATATGCAGCTTCTCTCCTCTTCTCTTCTCTTCTCTTCTCTTCTCTTCTCTTCTCTTCTCTTCTCTTTTCTCTTTCTTCTCTCCTGTTTTCTTTCTTTTTTTTCTTTTCTTTTTTCTTTCAGCTCTTCTCTTCTCTTCTTTTCTTTTCTTTTCTTTCTTTTTCAGTGCTGGAGACAGTGTGCAGGGCCTTGCACATGCGCTAGGCAAGTGCTCTACCACCGAACATCATCCCCATCCCAGGATATACAGAATATTAACTGATTAGTTAGCCCTTGCTTAAAGCATAATACATTTATTGTTATAACTAACCTGGAATCCTATTAAGTATTAAAAGTAGTTACGGCTTATGAATCAAAAGGGAAATATCTTCTGTCAAAAACTGGAATAAATTCATGGGCCAGTTTTCATCCATATATTTGGGTTGCACAGTTTATTACACAGAAAGCCCACTGGACCATCCAACTTCTGATTTAGACAATTGAGACTAATATTAAGATTTAAAAGATTTGAAATCATATTATGATAAGCTTTATTTATAAAACTTACTAGTTACTTTTAAGAAGACAGTGTCAAGAAATCAAACTTAAAATCGAACATGATTATTTTCCCTCTGATGTGAATCTGACCTCAGGCTATAAGTGAACTGTAGTTCACTTAAGTGAACTGAACTATGAATTCATTACATTGATTATGAATTCATTACAAAGTTTAAGTGGCCTGCAGTTGAAGATCACTAATTAATCCTAATTCTAATCTTTGTTTCCTGCTAAAAAATGAGTATGAAGCTGAAGCTTGAGCTAACTGATAAAGCAATTGGCCAGAAAACTTTTGTCAGAACTAATATAGTGTTTTTGACAAAGTAATTCTAATACATCAGAAATGTAATTTCAGCTCTTCTAATCTTAGAATGGGGGGAGGAGGTAAAAACCGTGTTAACAATTATGAAATTTGGCAATGATATTCTTTAATTGGTTTTGCTTTTATAGAATCTCTTTTTAGATTGTTTTTCTTATTTAATATAGTGAAAATATTAAATCTGTTAAGAATTCCTGATGGATCACTGGATTAACCCTGCAGTGATATTTGAATTATTTGTGTTCTCTCATTAAAACATGACAGTTCATTTATATTTTTCCTCAAATACCCATTAAGATTAAATTATGAAAATCAGTAAGCAAAAATCATATATTTTTAAATGGCGAACTGTTTGGGAATTTAAGATAAACTAAAATGATGTGTTTGTGGATGCCAAAATGTTTGGCTTCAGTAAGTACACTCAGAAGCTTTTGTGCCTTGTATGCACTATTTACAAGAAGATCATGACTCATTTTTTTAAAAATATTGAATTGAGTGTAAGTTTTTTAAATGTTAACAATTAGGGTAAGCTGTGTATTTTCTTTGTTACTAATTTGGGAAGTTAAAACTGATTATGTTTAAACTCAGCTAAGTAATCAATATAAACAAAAGTCTAACACAACACGAAGCTAGAAGACCAGCACATAGTGGTGTAGCAGATCCTTGCAGTTACTCATCCTCATGAAAAATAGAAAGAATTTCATATGAAATGTGTTCATGGAAGAACCAGTGTCAACCAAGTCCATTTTACAGTTTGAGTACATTTTTTTAAATAGTAGGATGGTAATTTTTTTCACATTTTTTTAAGCTAAAAAGTTTGATGACAATCAGCTTGAAGAAATCTCAGACAATATGATACATTTTCACTTTTATCTTCAAGTATTTTTTGGTCACTTATCATTACCTGAAGTGCCAGACTAGAACCTAGAGCTCCTGCTAGAACTCTTAAGGGCAACAGTATGATGTGACTTATTAAGAATTATATGCAAGCAGGTTTTTTGAAAGCACAGTACCTACTATAACTATTTTCCTGGACAGAATTAAACTGGAAGCCAAGAAAAAAACAAAGAGGGATTTTAACCTTTTACTCTACTACAATCTTGTTAATTTTCCTCCCTTTAGGTCTTTTATGTACTTTCTTAAATATATACGTCAACACAAATTAGAATGAGATTTGAAAAATTTTAAAAATGAATAAACTTTTTTTTTCCATTAAGTTGTAATGGTTCTTTTTCTATTTTCATACAGTAAAAAAAAAATTAAAGGATTTTTTAAATCTAGTTTTGTTTTTAATTGTAGGGGTTAATAATTTTTGGAGGTGATCCTACTAGATATGCACTATAAATGTACCTGAGTAAATAGGTCTACATTTTAAACATATGTATGTGTATTAACCTTAAAAACACTTTAAACATTTTACTTTCACAATACATATACATAATGGCTTACCTCAAATTGAGACACTTCAATCTGAATTGTTCTGAGTGTGCTTCAAACTGGTAATCTGATTTTTCCTGTTGTTAGTGATTTTACTAGTTAGATACTAAGACTAAAGAAATTTTTCATTTAAAAGTATTGAGGAAATGTTTGTTAGTTAATGATTTACTATTATGTAGTGGAGGAGGGTTTTTTTTCAAAGATAAAGAACACTTGCATCTGAATAGTGGTGAGACATCCAAGGAAGTACATACCAAGTTCAGTCCTGATACCCCCTCATTTGTGTCTGTTCACCTTCCTTGTCTGTATGAAATGGCCTATGCCCTGAAACTACAATTCCTTCAAAGGTATGCTCTTTATAATAATCTATTACAGCTAATAATGGTAAAATTCATGCCCACAATGTAGTCATAACATGATCTCTGGGGATGGGATGAGAAAATGTATAATTAAACATTGGTAATTAAACAATTCTGAAAACAAAATTAAAAATAGACCATAGAACTTATAGACATTACTGGAAATATGGCCCTTTTTTTTTTTTACAAACTATCTTCACAAAGGAAAGCCAGTGCAAAAGATTTATAAATCATATTCAAGAAAAATAAAGCTAGCAACAGTAACTCATACTTTAAGAAAATATGTGGAAAAAAAAAGTTACTCCATTATATCAAATACCTACAATGAAAGTTGTCATGATATATTGCAAGCATGTTCTAATTTTAAAATGAAAATGTGTAAAAAAGTTATTCCATTAAAGTCCAGTAAATTTTCCCTAGTTTAAAAAACATGTAAACTTTCAGGTATGATTCTGAAGTCATATTACTGGTGTACTTATCAGATATTTACTTATAAAAATGATACTTTGACCATTTCTTTGAGTTTCTTTTTAAACTCCAGAACACATATACAAATTGCAAAAACAACTTACACTGTAAACCCTGAAAATGTCCCCTTGTATGATCATCCTACCTACAAATACTACAAATTCTAATCTGGCCATATTTTGTCCCTTGTGACATATTTCAACAATGGAATTTTTTCACCAATAGCACATACCTCTAGGTAAGATCCTTCTGTGGAAGTCTTTTCTAAGTAGAAAATATCTGGCCTTAATACCAAATATTTTAGAGGCCTACATTCCCTTTTGCACATACGTAGCCCATTTAACACATTTTCTCTAGAATGTGGAAGAGGCTTTGACATATACATTAAGCATGCATTACGTTTTTACAGGAGTACCACTGGAGCTTTTTAGCCTTGGTTAAAATTCGTAAAATTTTTAAATTGCAGTTTTAGCAATCCAAATCATGTTAGTATTACATACATGCCAACATTGAAGAAATCTTGATTTTAAAATTAAGCAGTCTCTTCTCCAATCAGATTTTCTTTAGAGCTCATTACCAAAGGGTCTTATTTTCTCAGAGAATACAAGAAATTTATAATGATGCAAACCATACACTTTCTGATTCTTTTTCCCACCAAGAGTTTACTACTCTTTTATAGTAGTGTCGTGACTGGGAAACAGTGGACATCACTGAAGGTATGAATTCAGGTATTTCAAAGGAACACTTGCAGATCTGTGAAAATCGGTATTTCCCAGTATGATGTTCATTGTAGCAGGAGGCTCTCAAATAGGTTTCTGCTTTTCCCTTCCCAAAGTCGCCTTAAAATATGGATTGAGGATGCTCTCCCATGGCACCACTGGTGATTGAAACTTTCATCTCTAACCGTAATTGTTCTTCCAGAGTTCAAATCTGATAATCTGAGTAATTATAATAGAGCCATCTTTATCGCATTTGTAACTGTTTCTTATTGCAAGAAAGTAAAGGGAAAAAAACCTGATAGCAAGTGTCCGCAGATCTCTGATATTCCTGTCCATTGCCACATTTCTGTATTATAGATTGGGGGTATAACGTTGGCTGTTAGGAGTGTCTTCTCAGTAGGGTTATTTCTAGTAGTATCGAACTACAGCAAAACTTTTAATATATGATTTTAGGCTCTGATTTATGCCACATAAAAGAGGTCCCTGTTGTGCAGAAAGGACACTACTATTTTATGATTTATGAAAACAAACTGATGTTACATCATAGAAAAAGCTTAACAATGTAAGCTCAATCATGTTCTGAATTTATTAGTAATTAATAATTTGACAAGTAAAGGTGTTTATTCAAATTGAGGGGAGAAATGCTCCAAAACAGAATTATATTGATGCTGAATTAAAGAACTGACATCAATTCTGGCAGGCTTCAATTTTGTTTTTTTAAATTTACTTCTCCAAGCAAGGCTGTTATCAGAGTTTAGATTCCATGTCTTTTTCTGTCAGAAGTATGGCTCCCTAATGTGCACGAATGCATGTGAAGAAGGACCATATTACCTACCAGGCTGCCTTCAGAAAGGAAGTTTTTCTTTGAAGAGAAACTAGCTATATAACTGTCTGGTATTTTTTTCCCTCTTCCTTTCTTCAGTCTAGTTCCTCTTTCCTTTTGAGCAATTTTTTCCTATTCACAGTATCTAGTATACCTTTTGGTCCTGATTTAACTTCAGTTTCTCACATCAGGGAGATAATATGATGTTTACACAAGTCTGATTTATTTCAGTTATGTGTATGGTCTCAAGTTGAATCCATTTACCTATAAAGGTTTGGAAGTCAGTGTGGAAATTCCTCAAAAAGCTAGGACTAGAAGTCCCACTTGAATCAGCTATTCCCTTCTGGGTATTTTCCTAGAATTAAAAGCATCATCCCACAGCAATATATGTATGTTTATAATTTCTTTCAGCTTGTCATACTAGTGAAACAATATGTTTACACATGCATGTTTGATTTCACTTATATCTGCTGTGCTCTCAATTTGCATCCATTTACTTATAAAAGCCTCAAGCTTATCTTTATGACCAAGTTACTGTACTCCATTGTATAAAAATACCATATCTTTTTATCCATTCCACAGTTCATGGGCATTTGGGTTGTATCCAAGATTTAGCTATTACAAATTGTGGTTCTATGAACATCGCTGTGGTGTGATATTTTAATTCTTCTGGGAAAAATTCTTCAGCTATACCCAGGAGGGGAATAGCTGGATCAAATGCAACCTTTGATCCTAGATTTTTAAGGTTTTTCTTTTTAATCGGTACCAGGGATCAAACTCATGACCACACACTTGCAAGGCAGGTGCTTATGTCGCTGAGCTAAATCCCCACCTCCTAATCCTAGATTTGTGAGGAAGCTCCACACCGATTTTCAGTGGTTACACCAGTCTGCACTTCCACCAACAGTAAACAACGGTTCCTTTTTCCCCAGCCCCCAGCATTTGTTAGATTCCTTGATGACAGTCTTTCTGGAGATGGAATCTCAATGTTGTTGTAATTTGTCTCTCTCAAATGACCAATAATGTTGAGGATTTTTTCATATATTTATTTGCCATTTGTGCTTCTTCATCTGAGAAGTGCATATTCACCTCAGATACCCACTTTTGAATTGAGGTTTTAACTTAGGGGGTAAGATCAGTTCTTTTTATGTTTAGATAAAAGTCCTTTGCCCGATGGATAACTGGCTAAAATTTTTTCCCAATCTTTTCACCCTCTTGGTGATTTATTTTGCTGTGCAAAAGCTTTTTAATAATGATCTCAGTTGATTCTTTGTAGTGATTCTCATGTAGTCTGGGTTTTGTTCATGGTCTCTGCCTACATGTATGTCTTCCAAGATTTCTACGTACTTTCTTTTCCAGTAGATTGTGTTTGTTTTTAATATTTACATCTTTGATCCATTTTGATTTTAGTGTGTGGTGAGAACACATGGGTCTAGTTCGTGTTCAGCATGGAGGAAGCCAGTTTTCCCAGCATCATTTATTAAATAGGCTATCATTGTTCTAGTGAATACATTTGGCCTCTTGTCAAAAGTGGGTAAGTGTGTTTGGTTTTGTGTCTGCATTTTCTAATCTGTTCTACTGATGCTCAGGCCTGGTTTTTTGCCAGTACCATGCTGATTTTATTTATACTGTATCTCAAATCAAATTATTAATGGAAATTCAAGTTTTGGGTGCTCTGTATATCTTCCTAGGTTTCTATTGCTATATTTCTACAATGTATTTATAAAATCATGAAAAGGTGACATTGTTATATACAAAACTGTTCTCATATAAATTATACCCTCCAACATACCAAATGACATGTGTAGACTTACCCATAGCTATACTATAGAGAAACAATTCCTATCCCTTTCAGTTTAAGAAATTGAATTTTTAATATCTTCATGCTACATACATGGGCTTGTGTCTCATTTGATTCACCTCAGGTTGCTTATCCTTCTGCATTTGTCACTGCAGAGGAAATTGTAAACAGTAATTCTTGTTTTGCTTTTTGAAACAAGGTACTGATACATACTTTAGGATCACCACAAAATTCACCATCCTCCTGTCCCACAGAGTACTGGGCCTGCAGGCATGCACCACCACATCCAGCAAATAAGAACTCTTATTTTTGGTAGAGAGGTAGACCTTTTTCTGTAGAAGGCTATGTAGTAAATATTTGAGGCTAAATTCAAGGACATTATTTAAGTACTTTATGGAAGGAGAAAACACATTTCCACAAATTTTTAATGAAAAAAAATTAAAAACTTTAATAGTTGAATAGTTTAAGTGGAATCTGGTGGTGCTGGGGATAACATTTTGTCAATGTGGGCTCAACTTAGCATTCCCTGGCCAAAATCAATTGGAAATATTCATCTATTAGTGCTGATTTTATTAAGATTTTATTTAATCTGTGAAAGCCTCTTTTCACAGTTAGATCCAGGTACTGCCAAACACCGATGTCCACTACTAAGCACATGACTTTACTCATCACTTGTAAGCACTAGTAAGACTCCACTTGTCTTTTCTTGATATTTGCCTTTCAGCATGTTCTTTGTATATTAATTTCCAAAGACTATTAAGAGGAAATTTCAATTTTAATTAAATGAATTAACTTTGCCTTGCATCATTAAAAATCTAAAACACTGAAGAAACTGCAGGAAAATGTTTCCAGTCACAATTTGTGTAGCAATGGAAATTACACATTTAGAAAGCACAGAGAATATATAAAATTTTAACATTCTCTTTATATGCAAAAACTGATTTCCAAAACTACTATGTTCAAAAATAGTGTTTAAGAATAGTTCTCATTCAGTTGGGGGTTTAGCTCAAGTGCCTGCCTGGCAAGTGTAAAGTCAAGAGTTCAATCTCCAGTACAAAAAAAAAAAAAAAACCAAACATTCTCATTCAGGAAAATGCCAGAATCAAAAAGATCACAATAAATCATTTACCAATGATAAGCCACTTAAGTCTTTTGTGGTAGGGGCAAACCAGAATACTATTTTCTCAAAAAAACCATGATATTGCCAGGCTTGGTGGTGCATAACTACAGCATTTGGCAGGCTGAGGCAGGAGGATGGTTGCAAGTTCAAAACCAGTCTAGGCTACAAAGTGAGCTCAATGTAAAATCCTGTCTCAAAGACATTAAAAGAGAAAAACAAAAAACAGGTATTATTGTTTTCTCATAAAACAAAAAAAACCCTGACAATAAAGTTTACAAGGGTGGATGTTCACTATTGACACTACCAGCTCAGTAATACCAGTATTTTCTGCAACATATTAACTGAATAAAATAAATTCCTATAGGCTTCAAACACCTTTCATTTTCTGACTTCACACGTTGGACCAACTAACTCCACTGTGTGCTCCATGTTTTTATCACTGAGTTATATTGCATCTAGTTGTATTGATAGCAGTTTACCTTCCTTGAAAATATTCTTACACACAGTTGTCCAGACTACCAATAGAAACTCTTCAATCATTTCAAATTAAGCGCTGATTTCTCAACAAATAAGGGATGGCAGGTCAGTACTGGTAATGTCTGACTTAGGAAGAATCAAATATAAATACTCAAAATCATCCATTGCTGCTTCCGTTTTCATGTAACTGTTCTGATCAAATGGCTGTCTTTATCTTCTCTGGACACTTTTATTTGGATTACTGCATGCAAATGTGACAACCCATTATCACTAGCAGCTTTCTTTGCTTGACTCACAAAAATGGCCATTTAGGTTTCACCTTTATTTTTTTTCATTAAAAATACGTGATGAGGTTTTCTATCTAAAACTTTCTGATTTTTTGGTTCCTTTTTGATGACTTACAAATCCTGTGATTATTTTTGATTATGGTAATGTTACGTACTCTTATTGCATTATAGACAATCTATTATCATGTATTTCTAAAATCCACTCCATTTTTTTTGTCCTGATATAATGGGCATGTACTAGAAACAGAAAAAAAAAATGCTATGGTACGACAACATGTATGGCACCCACGGTCAAGTGGTATCCCTACTTGTGAGTCTGGAGCATGTCAAACAGCCATGTGAAACAGCCCACCACAGGAAGGCAGCTCCCGCAGCAGCTACTTAACTCTCCCACCATACAGGGAAAGTAGCCACAGACCACACATAAATGATGAATGTGGTTACATTCTAATAAAATTTTATTCATGAACACTGAAGTCTGAATTTCATGTAATTTCCAATTAGAAATGTTTCCACTTTTCCCCTCCATTTAAAACTAAAAACCATTTTCGGTTCATGGACCAAACAAAAATAGGCGGTCTGGCCTATAGGCCAGGTTTTGCCTTTTGGATTAATGGCTATGAACACTAAAAAGAAAATTATAAGCCAAATGTATTTTAAAACCTAGAATGTTCCTATTCCTAAATTATGTTACTATTTCTAGAGACACAAAGCATAACTGATACAAGTTACAAAATACAGCAACTATGTGGCCACTATTTTATTAAGGTGAAGATTAAAATGGTAAGAAACCAAATAGAAACTTGCTTCTTTATGGTAAGCTTTAAATTACATCAAATTTATTTACTTTGTAATCTTTTCTGAATTAACTGCCTTCCAGAAAGGCCAAAAATAAGCCAACACTATTGAAAAGCAAAAGATTCAGGATGACTTTCCAACTAAAAGACTAATATAAGCAGCTTCTGTTATGTAAATTGGAAATTACCGAGTTCAGTTCAATTGCCAAATAAAATATTTAACATACCAACTAAGTATTTCTTAAAAAAAGTCATCAACATATAAGAAAACATTTCTGAAGCCTTTATTTACAAAAGCTTTAAAAACAAATAATACCCTCTGTTTTGCAAATAATTTGTTTAAAAAGGACCACCCAGTTACAGCATTGTCATACAACGAATAAAGAATGTACAAGGGAAACCAACTACTGTTGCTAACATTTGGAGATTTGCTAATATTACTGATTGAATTGTAGGTAACACATTATAAATTGTTGTCCCTCATTTCAAGGTAGAATTAATGATTAGCAAGTCTTCCTACACATGCTCTGGCCTGGTCACATATTCTGCATGGCTAAATATTTCACAGTCTCTTTGTCACTATATAAAATAGATTGCAAAGATATACACAAAAAAATAAACAAGCATTACACTCCTCAGGTATTTTTATTAGCTATATATGTGTGTGTGTATATATATATTTTGTATTTTGCACCAAATCTTTCCATTAATTCTAACAACTATGAAAGCACAATGTTTGTCCTTTAATTTGATACAAAACATACCTAACGACTTGCTATCTTTGGACTTTAATGAAATTGATTTGTGTAATCAACAAATCAAGAGAATCATAGGTATGGCTATAAAAAAAGAATAAACAGTGATGGGATAAAAAGAAGATCAAGGGATGTGTGCTATCATAAAATAACTAGCTTCAGAATCTTGAATGCCAGTTTCTGGCAGATACTAAATGTCCAATCGTAAGGGCCTTTTCCTGAGGTGTAAGGCTGGTTTGAAAATTCTTCAGTCACAAGGCAGTCTACACATGACCAAAAGAAACTGGCAGACACTAGATGTGCTTGGAAGATAAAACACTACATACACAAACAGTAGTTACTAAGCTCCTCAGTAGTTTCCTGTCTTCTTCTCTGTTAGTCTTGCTGAATCGACAGTTTGCACAATGCATGTGCTATACTCAGTGGGTCAGATACAAGTAAATACTGTATAAAGTTGGCAAATGGCCATTTTTCTACCTAACCACAATTTCTGATAAAACAGAGGATTGAAATCACTCTAAAGTGCAAAATTGATGGTCCACAATCTCAAATAGCTAAAACTGCAGAATGGAAAGGAGAGACATGAAACAGGGAAATAAATTACAGTCAGTGCTAGTTAATTTAGGAAAGGGAAAACAAAACCAAGCTCAAGGAGGTAAAGTTTATCAAATTATTCAATACGATGTAGCTTTCCCCACCCTGTCACACACGCTTGCAAACAAGTATATTAAATTAAGGCCAAATTTAACCTGAATGTACGTCTATTTAGTAAGATCTGAGATAGGAACGGTCATACTTAGTACTAAAGGCCAGAAAATAAAATAGACTTTGAAAGGGGGAGGGTTATCTGTTTTTCAAGGGATTCAACCAGAGATAAAACCTATATACAAGCACGTGTGTAGCTCAAATAAAATAAAAATAAAAGGTCTATTTCATGTCATGACTGCTTGTTGGCTTCCTCTTCATATGCATTCCCTGTGCCATTCTGTACATAGGATGAACCAGAACCAAGGCCATACAAATGGCCACAATATTTGGCATCATCAATATGATCTTCAAAGAACATCTAAAAAGGAATTTTGAAGAAAAAAAAGATTTTAACCAGAAGGTACCACTTATAATTTATATTTCAGCAAATGTAAGTACTGATTGCTTAGCTATGACAGCTCTATTCTATGTTCCTTTGAGGAACAAATATTACTAATACAGAGTGCAAAATGCAACAGACTGCTACAAAAAAAAAAAAAAAAAAAGAGAAAACTAGTAGTATGTCTTTCTCATTAACATTTAGACTACATTCATACAAAATTGTGAGCACTGGAGAAATACTTTTTATTCTATTAATTTAATAGTACATAGGTAAGAATAAATAAAAACAGTCAATGACAGGTGAAAAAAATGAAGGCTTTTAGTTTCTGTGAATCTAAGTGCAAGGCAGAGCTGACTATATAAACCCTAAGCACGGTGAACTGAACATTTGCTTTAGGTTACTGTCCCTGAAGAAACCAAGAAAAATAATCAATTATTGTCAGAATCTACCAGCAAGCCACTGAGGTGTTTTTCAGAAGCAAAGCAGAAAAACCCAAAAGGCTGTTTTAATTCTGTAATGAAGCACTGGAAATAAGTACAAAACAAATTATATACTTATCATGAATAGAAATACAAATTATTTCTCAATTAGTACTACTTGGAAAAATGGATTTAATGCTTCCTTATACTAATATATTTTTATAGAAATTTTAGTTCCCAATCTTAGTCAATTCCTTGAATATCTACAGGAACATAAGAAGTCCATGGAAAATATTCTGCAAAAAAAAAAACTTTTCTGGGAGAACATATACCCTATTTTTTTTTTTTTTCGCACAACCAATTTTCTGTTGTGTAAAACAATGCATATTAAGCAAATGAAATAACCTAAGAGTAGACTTGGGTTCATTAAATTTCATTCACTCAGGTGTGTAGTCTATACCCGTAATCCAGGGGCTTGGAAAACTGCCAAAGGATTGCCAAAAGTTCTATATAGTGAGTTCAAGGCCAGCCTGAACTATGCAGCGAGATCCTATCTTAAAAAACAATAGCAAACCTAGAATACTACACTTCATTCATCCATTCAGTATTTAGGGTGCTTGAGGTACTGATCTCTGCCTTTTGTCATTTAGGACAGTGTTCCTAGTCTGGTTTTTGATTCACATTACTTCATCTTTAACCCTTTTAGAATTCAAAACCACTTTGTAAGGCTCAAGCCAATAAAAAAGCACAAATTCTACTTTACAAAATTTTCAAAGCATGAGCAAATCAAATTTTTACCACCAGTTTAAAATCTAAGGAAAGGCTCGGATAAGAGAAACTTAACACAAATTTTCTTTTTTTTTTTTTTTTTTTTGTCTTTTTGTTTTTATCGGTACCAGGGATCGAACTCACGACTGCCTGCTTGCAAAGCAGGCGCTTATGCCGCTGAGCTAAATCCCCAGCCCAACACAAATTTTCTTTAACTTGGCAGACATAGTACTAATGAAGTCTAAGAAAGGTTACTTCTCCCACTACTAATATGTTTGATATTGATAAAGTTCTAGCCTCAGGCCTTTTTTTTTCCCTATCATTTTTCCCTATCATAATATGGTTGGATCTAAGTGATTTGTAAGATAGCTGAAATTTTCAAATTTTTATTCTATAAAGAACTTAGTCTTCCATTTCCTTTTGAATTATATTTCAATATGATTTATTTTTTAATATGTTCACTCAAGTGTAGTACATAACTGATATACCTCTACTTGTATTTTTCACTTAGTTCTTATTATCTAGAACTTTTGCAATCAATTTTTAATGTATTCATTCACCCTAACAACCAAAGGATAAAAAGGCACTGAGATCTTCATACTTCTCTCATTTTGAAAAAGGCCATTCCTGTAAGCAATGAATCAGATCCTGCTTGATGTTGTGGTCCTATCCGTTCCAGCTCTAACTGTTCTGCAACTTCTTGTAGTCCACCCTAGAAGAAATAGAAATTGCCTGTCAAAGACAAAACCACTTCAATGGCTGAATTCACAAATCATAAGCTTGAGACACTGACCAAAATATGAAACTTAGTATGTAAACTTTAACATTACAAAAAAAAAAGCATAAATTATTTGTTGAATGTGGGAGACGTTTATAATTTCTCAGAAAGACTCTTAATTAGGAAAATGTACCTTCATTATGGTTTTTAAAATGTGATAGTAAATCATTTTCCTAAAGATACAGGGAAAGCAGATCAGATTCAGGGTTAATAGTAAACAAAAATAACAAATACATTCAGCCTATCACTCATTATAAAACTCAATAGCTAGTACAGGCTATTTCTTGTAAATATTCATAAACTTCCCACTAATTCATTTCCAAATAGTTTTCATTTAAATAATTTTCACAAAGCAAAGCCGTTATGAGTAATAAAATCATTAAGAATTCACTACATGCTTAACTGTAATTTTGTTACCCAATTAATCGTATACAACTTCTTAGAGTACTTGCTGCTAAAGCTGCCTATGTTAATACTGTTAGGATTAAAAAACAGAACAATCAATAAAAACAGAGAAAAAGAAGACACAGAAAGACATCAGGGGGGAAGGACAACCCTCAGTAACAAGATAAAAACAAAGTTCTCCTTTAAATTGTAAAGCCTCTGTAATCAATGAGTCCTTCGCTATATCACAACTTGACACAAGAGCTCCACACGCAGCAGCTGTCTCCGAGCTAAAAATAGTGTGAAGATTAGGTATTGTGATCACCAGTGGATTAGGAGACACAGCACAGCTGAAGTATTGTTGCCCTCATCACTTTTGTCACAACCTAATATTTTGTTTGTTTGTTTTTTGGTTTTTTTTTTTTTTGGAACCAGGGATCAAACTCATGACCTCATACTTGCCAAGCAGATGGTTGTGCCACTGAGCTAAATCCCTGACCCTTCACAACCTAAATTTTAATATACCAGTAGCAGTTCATAATCAAAAGTATATGGTATTCTTAAATATTTTCCAGAAATATATACATAATGAACAAAAATGTGGCACTCTGTTCTTGTAAACTGCCAAGATACTTAAAAATATGTTTACAAAGCTAGATTAAAACATGGAGGTCTTCAATTCTCAACATTTATAGCTTTTGTCAGATGGGCTGAGTTTCCATAGTAATAAAGATACAAATTTACTTGCCTCAAGTCACCTCCTCAAATGATACAGAGGATTGCTACTTTCAGCAACTCCAGTCATAAAATAATCTTTATTAAACCTTTTCCTAGTTTTATGCTGAAGAAGCAAACAAACTTTTCTTTTTTAATTATCAATTTGTTAACATAGTTTCTTTATTCCCACATTGCTTTTTTCTGCTTAGAAGTTCTTACCACATCCCAAAAGTACATTTTATTTGTACTTTGCTAAAACCTGATGATAAGAAAACTTTACCAACTTTAGTTTCACCAGTGGAATGATAGTCTCTATAAAGCAACCACACTGCCCAAATTTATTTTTTTTAAATACATACAACAAAAATAAAAAGAATCACTGAAGTCCTAGGGGCCTACACACACACACACACACACACACACATACACAGAGCTGAAATGTGTGCTCAAACGAAAGAACTACTTTTCCTTAATTCAGAAATTCTTTTTGAAAGAATATAAAAAAATTTATTACACGTCACGTGATGTTAAAATGTACTTATTGTTTAGGTAGCACCTAACACAATTTCTATAGCATTTATGCCTAACAAAGTTTACATGTTGGAAAGAGGGGGTAAAAATCTCTAATGAAGATAAGCTGAAAGGAAAAGCATTTTACCACACTCCTGAATATAGCTACCCACTGCAGGCCAATTCAAATTTTATCTTACATGGAAATCTTACATGTGCTTGGACAGAGCAAGAACTTGTACTTTTATGCATCTGAGCAACCTGTGGCCCTGAAACTTTTACTCTGGTTCATGATTTTCAATCTCAAAAGCAACTAACAAAAAGCTGACACTTAGCTTGATTTCTGTTAAAAAAATATATCCTTCAAAGATACAATGAAGCTTTCAATGGGGACTGCCTATAACTATTACTTATACAACAGAAAAAATCATAATAGTAATGTAAAAGTTAAAATATGGCTTTAAAAAAATCAGGCTTTTAATGACTATTATTAAAATAATGACCCAATAACAAATGGGGAAAAGGAACCCTTTTCTTCTGTTGGTGGGAGTGCAGACTGGTATAAGCACTGTGGAAATCGGTGTGGAGATTCCTCAAAAAACTAGGATTGGAGGTCCTATTTGGCCCAGCTATTCCCCTTCTGGGTATCTTCCAGAAGAATTAAAAACAACGTATCACAACAATATATGCACACCCATGTTTACAGCAGCACAATTTGTAACAGCCAAATCCTGGATATAACCCAAAAGCCCTTCAAATGAGGAATAGATAAAAAAAGATGTGGTATTTTTAAACAATGGATTACTATTAAGTTGTAAAGGAGAAACTTGAGACTTTTATAGATAAATGGATGCAAATTAAGATAATACTTACAAATAAAGACAGGCATGTGTAAACATCATACTGTCTCACTAGTGTGAGAAGCTGAAAGAAACTATATATAAGATAGTTAAGACAGTTATACTGACTTCTCTGAGTTCAAAGAGAAAGGTTTATGCTAGTATTGTTCTGCCATTATGTGCAGATGTCTTATACTCTGAGGAACTGACTGGAAGATAACAATATGCAATGTATATGCCTATATTACTCCCTAATTATCATGTTTTGAATTTTTTTTTCTCTTCAAAGTAAAAGAAAATCTGGCTTTCGATTTTACGTTAGTTACTCTGGTCTTAATGCCGACTGCATGTAATGTCATTTTAAGCCTTACTTTGAGATTTTTGCAGCTCTTCATGAGGTACTTCACATCATAAATGACAGGAAAAAATAATCGAAGGATCTCAAAGAAATCAAGCTCTTCTTCAGGCAAGTTCGAGTTGGTCAGGATTTTGATTAAATAGCCGAAGTCATAACCACTACAAAAGGGTTTAAAAAAAAAAAAAAAAAAAGGTTGAGACATATAAATACCATGGAGATTAAAAAAAATGTTTTTCTGATATATATTTTAAGCAAGTCACAATGGGCAAAAAAGAAATCAACAAAAAAAGAAAACAAAGTGCACACAAGGACAGAAAAAAGATTTTTATGCAAATAAAATGAGAAAAATGTAAATCAGTATGGCTTTTTCTTATTTTAGTAAAGGTAAGATTAGCTGAGGACTTTAAAATATTTTAAATTATTTTTTACTAGAAATAGAATAGAGTATTTAATGATATTTAGTGCAATAAAAATCTTGTATCTTGATAATTTTTAAACATCACATTTGAATCTAGATTCTAAACTACAAGAATACATGAACTCTCTCTGGTTTTGTCTATCTCAAGGGTGTTATATATATTAAAAGGATCAGAATCTGCTTCCGAGCTGTTTTGTATCCTCATGAGTATATACATAGAAAGAACTGTTCCTTCACGAACTTAAGTTTTATTTCCTGACATAGTTTTAAGTAAAGAATAGAGATGGAGGGGCTGGGGATTTAGCTCAGTGGCATAAGCATCTGCCTTGCAAACAGGCAGTCATGAGTTCAATCCCTGGTACTGATAAAAATGAAGAAGACAAAAAAAAAAAAAAGAAAAGAAAAGAATAGAGATGGTAAGAATGATTATGCTCTGTATCTCCAACTTGAGAATTACTAGTTAGTCCTACATTTAAGTTTATGGTAAGAACAGTCTGAATCACTCTTCTAAATTCTAAAGCATGTAAGAGACAGGTATTTAAAATATATGTGCAAAGGAAATCAAGTTTAAAAGCAATAACATCAATGTAACATATGCTTTTTAAAATCATTTCCAAGGTCACTTGTAGTCCCTACACTATCAATTTATCTTATTTACACAAGAAAATGTTTCTCCTATCAGGAAATCTACTTCTATATAAAAGAACTTATTTCTTTCTAGAATTCTCTTAAATGATCTAGTTTTATAATTATGAAGAACTGACAACCAGCACTTACAGAGAATTTATTCTATGTAAAATGCTTTACTGTACACTTTAAATATGTTATTACTGACAACTAAAGCATCTCTGAAAGATATCTGTTCTAAGGGAAGTTTTCCCTGCCACTTTTTAAGAAAAATTAAGTCCATCCACATACCCAACTTTAGCATTTTCTCTGCTATTTTTCTTCATTGCATTATTACTACAGAGCAAACTATGTAACAAATATACTCAGGTCATTTAAAGAATGTGAACTGCATGAAGACAAAGATGTTAGTCTGTTTTGTTCACAGCTTCTTAGCATCTTATCATAGTGACTAGCACAAGGTAGACAATAAATACTTTTTATGGTTTCCTTTCTATAAGCATAAAAAGGTAAGGCTTACAATGTGTTAAAAAACCAAAGATGAGGGCTAGAGGGTTAGCTCAGTGGTGTAAGTGCCTATCTGGCAAGTTCAAGGTTGTAGATTCAATCCCTGGTACCAAAAACAAAACAAAACAAAAATCCCAATATGACACCAACTGTCAACAGTTTTGTTGGATTTCAACAAAGGTCTATTTTTTCAGCCTGTACTCTTCCACTAAGCAATACTAACTCTCGCAGGCTAAAATAACCCTATTAGCCTCTTAAGAAGCAGTAAATTTTTTCTAGAACTACGTCTGAAAGTGTTGATACGAAAGACCAAGGGAAGAATGAGGCAAGTACAAGATGGAAACACAAGTGCCATTTTCAATGTAATTATTATTTTCAGGCGCTTACACTGCTGAGCTAAATCCCCAGCCCACAATGTAATTATTTTTACCTATGAAATGATAACCATTTGACCCCCTCACAGAGGACCACCCCTGAAGTCATAAGAAGTTCTGCGAAGTACTGGGTTTCAATTCCCTCCTCCTCATGTTTTTTAAACTGGATACCAGACGTTGTCAGCAGCTCTATAGAGTCCTGGGCATACATGTCCTCCCTGGCAGGAGAAACAGAAAGACATTTAAAAGTGTCATTACTTCAAACAGATTGTTTTCTCCCACTTAATCTACAGCTGTGATGCTGGAACAAGAAGACAGAGCACGGGCTTAGGCTCCACTGTTCCAATGCTTTCCATAGTCTTCTATTCTACACACCATATAAACTTAACTCAGTTTAAAAAATTCTACTCACTAAAGATCACTACTGCAAAGTGACCAACCTTCTCATTTCTGGGGCTCAGTCTCAGCAGCCCTTTTAATGTTCCTAGGTGGAGCTGTAGCCACAGCTATGAGGGACTATGCCCACCCCTCACGCTCTCAGTAGAAACAGGAAGGAGATATCCAGCAGGAAACAATCTCATGTGCCTGAGTTATACTACATTCCATCTTAAAAGAAAAAGGAGATGCCTCCTTTCACAAATGATAAGCCTTTCAAATGGCTCCAATAAGTAGCCAACTGTTTAAGGACTCTGCTGCTATCACTGCATTTTTTTTTCTTCCAACAATCCTAATCCTAGATTCCCAAACTGAAGACAAGAAATCTAAATACAAACTTATCTTTCAAGATTTCACGTAAGCCACAGAAACCTTTTCTATTTCCAAACCATCTAATTTCTATAGGTATCCAAAATATCAGTTACCAAAATACACATATACACTTTTAAGAATAAAAAAAGTTTTTTGTGGATTCACCATTTAACTTTTTATTTTTTTACCCTTAGCCAAACTTTACCAAGCCCTTTCTATATACCAAACCCTGGACTAAATGTTTGCATACATGTTTATATATATTATCACCTTTAATAACTTTTTTTATTTTTAAGTCGAAGAATACTAACTTCTACCATTAACAAAAGAATTTTCTACAAAAAGTTTTATGAAACAAATTAGACTATAAAACCAAAAAAAGAAAGAAACAAAGAAAGAAAAAGAAAAAACTTAGTTTTACCAAAAGAAGTATTTTAGTTGGACTGGAGAATATTTTTATGGTTTTCTTTCAGGAAATCAATTTGCTTATAACTGTGGCAAAAGCTAACAACAGAAACACAAACAGAGAGGCACAACAACCACTTTAAATTTCCTCTGGAGAAACATTTAGAAATACATGGCATAATACTGTACAAATCTTTTTCAGTTAAATTGTACAGATATTGGCTTCATAATATGAAAAACATATACCTTTAAAAAACAAGACTGTCACTCAAATTTCTAGTACTCACAGTGAAGCATGTTTTAACAACCATAACCAAAAGCATAACAGATTTTTCCTTGGGTTCACAATGTTCTTGGGTTCACGTATGTTCAAATTACTTATCTTTCTCCCAATAACAATTTAAGCTTCAAAAAGGCAGTGATTTTTTATTGTTATTCAGTGTTACATCACCACATTAGAAAACACAGATAAAGTGGTGAATGTGGATTTACTTGTCAGTATTTACCAAATTTGCCCAAAGTAACAACTGCCCTGAGAGCTTATAAAAAATATGGGTTCTCAAGTCCCACTGAAGTCCTAGACTTACAAATTCATAATTCCAAAGTGAGAGACTTGGATAGGTTTTTTTTAAAAGTAAGAAAATTTATTGGAGATGGAATGGGGAACAGGAACAGCTCCTGAGAGACAAGAGGCATCCTACATGGGTTGGCAATGAGCCCACCTCTCAGTTTTACAGAGCAAAACCATGAGGCAAGTACAGCATGGGTGAAAATTATGATCAATCATAAAACTGCAAGTATAGTCACTTATGTAATATTGATCTAACGGTATCAAGGATACATGGATGACAACATCAACCTTGGTCAATAATCTGTAATCTTAGTTAGGTCTGGACTTAATGGTTTTAGTCTTAGGTGGGAAAGGATGGCCCACTCCTAACGATAATGGGAAATCTCAAAAGGTGGGGATACAAATAATCCCAAACCTCCATTCATCCCTTAGGGAAGTATGCAAACTAGCCATTCTGACTTTAATCTTCAGATGCGAGATGAAAATCCATCATGACTATTCTTGGAGGCATTTGGATGGGTATTTTATCATCACGTAAATTTGTTAAAGGTATGTGTGCAAATTATTTCCTACATAGCTTACACGGCTTAATTCAGATAAATTCATGTACAACACTTTCATCTAAATTTTACAGGACTCAATATACGATGATTTGGAGCAATCTCATACTTTGTAAGATCCAATTTATGAGGAAGACAAAGTTGGAAACCTAAAGTTAAGTTGATGATGATGATGATGAAATTTTCCTATGGTAAAAGAAACTTCTTAATTTTGAGTCAATTCAAGAGTTTTGAGTCAAGAGTAGACAATCTCAAATGGTACCCATTCTAAACTTTTAAACCTTTCTATTCTACCTTTCCCACTCTTGAAAATTCTAGCAATGTATTAAAATGTTATCCTTAAAAAGACAACTGAAATACTGTTTAATCAAAACATACAAATTGCTATAGGTTCTGGTGTTTGTTCATTGATTGTAAGATCAATCTATTCAGAATTAAGAAAAATAATGTGATTCCTCCCAACACTAAAGATTAATTAACTGCTAAAGTTTAAAGTAGCAAATATCAGTTGTAACAATTGAACATGTACAATAACCACATATAAATCTCTATAGAAAAAGTTTTCCCAAAAAAGCAGGGATGCACTGCTATCCTCAGGCAATATCTTAAAGACAAACTATTTCAACTACATGTACTAAAAGTCAGTAAATGTATTTAAATTATCTCTTTCTACAAATAAAATCCTAGCCTACCTCAAAAATTCATATCCTCTAAACACGAGTTCCCTAATAACCTCAAAATATTTCTCATTCAGAGAACCCAGTTTTACAAAGTACCTTTTCAAGTAGTTTCTTACTCTCATATACTTTATAAAAAAGTTAGTTTTGTTAAAAATAAAAACTCCAATATACTTAAATTCATGCTAAAAATTTGTTAAAATATAAAGCAGAATTAGATAACCAAAAATGATTAAACTAAATATGTAATAAGCTCAAATAAACTAATAAAAAAGATGTTCAAATCCTACAGACTGTAAAAGATGTAAAAACAAACATGATTTGCAAACTTGAAAAAAATTAGTACCAATACATACTAGTTATCAAAAAAATCATTCTCAAGAGTCAAAACAACAGGACAGGTATTTGCATCAACCTATGAGTGTGCATAACCTTCCAGAAAAGTGTCAATCTGATGTCTCTCTTTTTCTCAACATATACACATATGCATGAATACAAATAAGAATTGTTTTATACCAGGAATCAAACTCAGGACCATGTATTTGCCAGGCAGGCGCTATGCCATGAGCTATATCCATATCAAGTATTTTCAAAGTACTTAAATCCTTTGGATGAATAAATGAAACTGTATCTTAAAAGTTTGCTCCTTCTTTCTAATAAAATAACCTAAACAGTAGATGAAGAAGCACAGTTCACTAACTTACAGTTTTGGGGTTCTGTCTCCAAAAAACCCATTACCCTAGAATATAAGCTGAAAACGAATTTAATAGCTTAGCAGCACTAACCCAATCAAGTATCATTTAGTTGCACTTACTGTCACAAGGCTGACAGAAGTACCGCTTGCTCCTGCTACCCAGCTCTGCAAGAGCATCAGCATCTTATTGTCTACTGTTAGCCAGAGAAATATCAAAATCAAAACCCAAAGTTTGGTTTATATTGAATATATGTTGCTGTTCTGCACTCATAAATTAAAATATTGTAAGCTGAACCTATTTTAAGTCAGGAACCATCTGTATATCCAGAGACACTCAATTTAAAAAGCATAGTAAGTGATTTAAAATTTAAAACATACCAGTTACAAAACAACGAGTAGGAAATGCTAGGAAACTGACAACAGTCATCTCTTTTTATGTTTTATTATTTTCTAAAAGCATGTTATTTTTACAAACAAGACAAAAATTTTCACTGAATATATCTCATCTGTCACAATCTCAAATTATTACAATTTAATTTCCATTCTCTTCAGGTCTAAAATCCATAGGCTTTGATGTAAAATGTCCAGACCTCACACTGAGAATCCAAACCAAACAATGAACAATATTTAACTCATCTAGAATCCTTAATACTTAAATGGATAATAAGAGGGAAAAGCAGAATAAAGGTTAATACTAGCATTTTTAGCCTACATTTGCAGTAACTTCAATTTACTTCAGACCATGGAAGCCAATCCTAATTTAGAACGCTATAGCAGTCATTATACTCTTTAGCTGAACTTTATGTACTTGTGGTACACAGTAGAAATAAACCAAACTTTTCCTAGCTTTAAAAGCAGCATAAAAAGTTATGTTTGGGGCTGGGGATTTAGCTCAGCGGCACAAACACCCACCTGGCAATCATGAGGTTGTGAGTTTGATCCCCAGTTCCAAAACAAAAAGTTATGTTTATATTTAAGGCCACAGAAAATAATTATAGTGACATAAATATTAGGAGAAAAGTGAATCATTTCTAAGTATAAAGATATTTGTTCATGTTTTTAACTAGTAAGTTACTTAGATATTATGTTTTTAAAATTCAGAAAATATTAAATATAATTAAAACTTAAAATTAAAACTTAAATTAACTTGAAATTTACTTCAATGTTTTTAATTGTGTGCAACTTTGAAATATCTATCTACAGTATATTCTTAATGAAATTTAAATCATAACCATAGACAGATTCCTATCTCATCTTTATATCTATGTGTAATAAGGAACTGTAGAGTTACTTCCAGTAAAATCTTGAAAAACACTGGTACGGTTAAATACTCAATTCTTAAGAGCAACCCTGACTAAGACTGATGTGAAAATTAAGTACACAAAGTTCATAAACACAGAAAGCAGACAGAAGAGTAATGAAAAACACTCAAACTTTACCAAAACTTAAACACTAATAACTTCCTACTCATACTGAGATCATACAAGTATCTAATTATAAAACAATGTTCTAATGACCTGCTACCCAAGCTATCAAAAAAAAAAAGGAGCATGGAACAAAAAGGAATAATTAAAAAAAGGGTTATTAGAGAAAAGGACAGAAGGGAATTCACATTGTTTCAGACATGTAGTATCTGTAAAACATCATCAATTATAATGGAAATGAGTACTTTGTATCCTTTTTTATAAGGTTCTTGAGAGATATTTTAGTTCTACATATTGAATTACTATTGCAGTATTATTATCAGTGGTGGCAAACCTATGGCACATGTGCCACAGTAGGCTGTTACTACTGAAAGCTCTAAAAAGTTTGCCATCAATGATCCATAGAATGAAACAGACATTAAACAAGCATAACTGGAATATGTAACTGTAATAAAAATCTCTCCACAAGCAGACTGAACATTTTAACAGAGAAGTCTACATTTCAAATTGGACTCAAAGTTTAAAGGTAAAATTAGCCCAGCATGGTGGTGCACCCTTATAATCCCAGCACTCCGAAAGTTGAGGCAGGAGGATCGTTGCAAGTTTGAGACTAGCCTGGGCTACAAAGTAAGCCCAAAGCCAGCCTGAATTGCGTAGCAAGACCCTATCTCAAAAAGACAAAAAAATAAAAAATTTTTTAAAATAAAGGTAAAATTAATGCTTCAAGATTACTTTTTTTTTTTTTTTTTTAATTAAGCATTATTTTCACCCTCAAAGTTTTTGGGCTAGAAATGGAGTTCACTGGTAGGATACTTATCTAGCATACATGAGGCCCTAGGTCCAATCCTCAACACCTCAAGGAGATAATCGCAACTCTTTCCAAATTAAAAAAAAGGCAGGCATATTCTAAAAATAAGCATCTATAAAATTAAAGTACTTTTGCTGGGTATGATGTTGTACACCTATAATCCTAGTACTTGGAAGGCTGAGAAAGGATTGCTATGAGTTCAAGTTCAGCCTAAACTCCATAATGAGGCCTGTCTCAAGAAACAAACAAATTTAAAGTATTTTTAACTTAAAAGTATTCATGTATGAGATTTAAATTCTTCATAAATTTTTGTCCGATAATTAAAAGGAAACCTAAACTTTTGAAATTTTATATATTTTCAGGATAACTATACCAAAGTCACTTAGAATTTCACTGTATTTGAGGTAATTCCTCATATTAAACTTTTAAAAAACAATTCATAGTATATATTCATTTCTTACTTACGTCAAATTAAATTTAAAATTAAACTGCCAAGTAGAAGTTCCTGGAGGGTATTCTCCTTGCTCATTCATAAATGTCAGTCCTAGCTGAATTATCTTTAATAAGTCTACATTACACCGCAATAGTTGGTACTGATAATCAGCATTGCTCCTGAATTCTCCAATTGGTCTTGCAACCACACCTGGAAACTCGGTGTCCTGTAAAACAATTTTAAGATTCATTATTTACTTACTGGTCAGAAGCACAAATTCCTAGAAGTTTTGATTCAAATTAAAAGATTATGTTATAGATGACAATCTATATATTCATATTTAATTAGTAGTAAATACAGTACCCTTTAAGAAGCACATTACTTCTTTTTTTTTTTCTTTCTTTCTTTTTACCGGTACCAGGGATCGAACTCATGACTGCCTGCTTGCAAGGAAGGTGCTTATGACGCTGAGCTAAGTCCCCACCCCCTAGAAGCACATTACTTCTTAACATGATACAACTCTATAAACTTAATATCTTTCCTTACTTTAGTATTACTATGCTATCAATAAACAATACATATAAGTCACATAAGATAAATACAACCAAGTACTTACTCTAGACACGAGAGGAGAAAAATCATGAAATCATGTCTCCTGAGGAGTATGTGAAACTATGCTCACAGTATTCGAATACTAAAACCAATTTGAGTGAAGAACTGGTTAGAGTAGAAAACACACTGTGGTTCACAACCGTGAGACAAAGTTTATCTCAACATCAAAAGCACTTTAAGCATCATAAAGCTCTAATTTCTCTGACTAAACCAACATTCTCTCTACAATTCACAAAAAACATTTACAAATTGTATGCCACCCACTTCTTATAGGATATGAATACTTCACTACTGAAGTTATCCCTTAACATCTGAGAAACAAAGATAACCATATTTGCACTAAGAAAAACCACTCCTGAAATAAATCGTACTCTAAGTCGGTTTGCCTTTACTAAGGAGAACATTACCTGTTTACAAATATTCATTTCACCAATCGTCCCACTTCTCCCCAGTAAAGCATATTTATTTTTACTTGTACTAAAAATACAAAGAAACTTATATCTGGTAAGTATTAGAATTCAAACTAAAATAGATTAAAAAAAACTAAATAGCAAACCAGGCGTGGTGGTACACACCTATAATCCCAGCCATTGGGAGGTTGAGGCAGGAGGATCACCAAAATTTAAGGCCAGTCTGGTCTACATAGTGAGTCCCAAATAGCCTAAACTACCTAGCAAGTCTCTGTCTTAAAAAAAAAAAAAAAAAAAAAAAAAGGAAAAGATAAACTAAACAGCAAGTCAACAGGAGACAAAAAAGAAATTAAAACTTCTCTAATTCAGTCTAATTCAACTACCAATTACTGGGTACCATTCAGATTACGTTTTGAGTGCAAAAGGAATAAACAAGACCTAACCTCTTGCTTTATGGAATAGTAATCTTAGTCTATCTAGAAAACTAAGTAGTTGCAACAGGCATACAAAGCACAAAAGTGAAGCACAACAAACAAAAAACTCTGCATGAACAGACTAGACTGAATTAGCATGTGTGCCTTTATGTTTATATACTACCTTGTTTCTCTTATGTGAGAAACTGAAAGTGTAAATAAGGACCAAAGTTTATGTTAGATATTATCAAATAGGAAGAAAATGTTCAAATAAGGAAGGGAAACAAGCGAGTGGGGAAGATATCAAGGAAAAAATACTTTTCTCCAAATTAAAAAAAAAAAGCTGAGGATTCACCTCAGCAGCATAAGCGCCTGCCTGGCAAGTGCAAGCTCATGAGTTCAATCCTCAGTACCAAAAAACAAAACAAAACAAAAAACAATAGTGTTCACAGAGCTGCCATGATAGTTTTTTAAAAGCTGTAGACCAACAGTGTCTCACTAAGTAATCTGAACTTTTTTAAAAGAAATCCAGGGGCACTCCTTAGCTTCTAAGAGCTCCTATGATACTATTAGCTAAGACTAGATATTACTAAAAACTGATATGCTACTGATAGCATATTGGTCCTTGATATCCTCCTGTTGAACATAAAACACTTTTACAAAACTTCAACAGGAGATGCAATCATTCTGTAATCATGGACAAAGAAAGTATAAACCACAAAGATGACCAAATACCCAATCATATAATTACCTAGTTTGTGGACAGCATCCAATCCACAGCAAAATCCTGCTCCCTTAACCCTTTCCCAAAACCACTTACACAAGCCCTGCTCCTATTAACAAATGCTAGCATTAACAAATGCTACATTGTTTCCATTGCTTTTTCTCCTAACTGCAGTGGGTAATAAAACCAACTTTTCAAATGATAGGTATATTTTTGATGGCTTTTGAGCAGAAAGCATCAGCAAATGCTTTCATAATTAAGCCCTGAGATCAACCAAAAAGGTTGAATTTAAGACTATCAAAATTCTGCCTTCCCTTTATAAGGAACATTTTAAGGATTTGGTCATGTGCATACCATAGCAACATAATTGTATTTTCGGATAACTTGACGAATTTTCTTCATCTCTTCATCCAGGTTACAAGCCCAAACTTCACATATTCTTTGGCTATGATCTACAGTTGCTGCTGGCATAGTGAGAGCACAAAGGAATCTAGACGTCAAGCATCAAAATGTTACACTTGATTGAAGACTTGTTTCAAAAATTACTTTATCCTTTATTTATGTACCTGTTAAAATAAAAACCAGTTGCATGATAAATCTGAATAAAATTAACCTAGAAAAATCTAAGAAATTATTCAAATTCCCTGATTCATAACAAAGTCAAAGTTGAGGAAATGATTTCTCTAAAGTCACACTTGTCTAATTTGTAGGGGAAAAAAGGACACCACCATCAATTCCTTATTATGATTTGTGTTTTAAGGCATACGTACAAATTTTTAAATTTTCCATTATATTAAAAATTGCTTAGCTCAATTCACCCCTGCATAAAAAGTCATCTGTTTCTAGATTTTTAAATTTTACTTTTATTATTAAGACCTGTTCCTGCGATGTGTGTAATTTAGGTTGGCCTGAAACTCACTATGCAGCCCAGGCTGGAATGCACCATGTACACCTGATGATCCTAACTCAGCTTCCTGAGTTCTAGGACTACAGGCATGTGCCACTGTGCTGTAAAAAAAATTTCTTTTAATCGCTGAGAAAAAAATAATAGCCAGCCACAGAAATCACCTAAACGTTCTTAAGTGTAAGGTGGAAAAACTAGGCAACAGAATTGCTTAAATGTAATTTTTCTAATTTTCTAAAAATTAGAGCTATTTTCTCTGAATATCAAATATAGATCTCACCCTTCTGGTCCATAAACTCTGAGTTCATGGTTTATGATAACACGGCCAACATAGTGATCTTAGCGAATTTCCAAAAACTTATTTCTCACCAAAAAATGAAAAAAAAAATCCATAGCTTAAGTAAAAGTTTTTGCGTTTTCTTTAACTTTGAAGAGTCCCAAACATAACCTCGAGTGCTGTCCCTCTCTCTCTCTCTCTCTCTCTCTCTCTCTCTCTCTCTCTCACACACACACACACACACACACACACACAAAAGACAATGTAGTGTAACGCTGCTTTCCACCACCTCTCTCTATGGCAATTCCAGAAGCCCTGAAGAGGCACCAAAGGTCTTCTAATTACTGGAGGAAGCATCTCTGAGGGCTTCCAAAGAAACAGGAGGACAGCACAGAAGCAATCATGTCACAGATTATTCTACTGCCTGGCAAAGAGGCAGCAGGAAGACGGCGATAACATTTACGAGACCCAGATTGACTCTCAAGCACTGCTGAGTGAAGATACCAGCACCTGACGATCTAGGCCACCGCCCTCCACTCTCAATTTCCGTCCCACAACGAAGCCCAGGTACAAAGCCGTTACGTCATCTCCCCGCGCCAACCTCTTGACATACCCCAGCCCCAGTTACCCTCCCCCTTTCACCCGCCGCCAAGATCTTTCTTCCACTAGCCGCACTCCAGTAGGCGCTATCGCACACCCGCTTAGGCTCGCCATTCCCGCCCCCTTTTTACTTCTCCAGCCCGCCCTTCCCCCGCAAGTCTGTGGGCAAACTCAAAATCTACTTGTGTCTCTGAGCTTGCGATCCTCCTCCTCCTCCTCGCCATAGAGACAGCACGCGGCGGCGGTGGCGGTGGCGGTATCGGCGGCGGCAGCGGGTGCCCCATAGACACCTCTCGCCCAGCAAGGGGGAAAGGGGAGCCGGAGCTACGCCGCACCGTGCTGCGTCGCCGCTTCTCTCACGTCCTGGCGGGGGCGCTAGATGATGACGCGACGCGCAGAGGGGGCGGGGCGTAGCGCGGAAATGGGCGGGGCACGCAGGAGACGAGGCGGGGGTGGCGGAGCGCTGGGCGGTCAGCCTGCCTGACTGGCTGGCGTGGTTGTCTGGGCCCCGAAGCCGGGGCCGCCTGTCCCGGAAGGCAAGTTACCCTCTCCAGCTGTTTGCTCCGGCAGTGTCGTGCAGAACCCGGCTCCGTGATCCAGACTTACTCGGTGGAGACGCCTTCCGCTGGTAGTTGGACCCCGGGCGTCTCGGCCTGCTCCTCTGTCCGAAGAACAGCCGGCAAGCAGCTGGGAGAAGCAGGTCAGAGGCTTCTAGGGCCTGGGGCCCGGGGACCCCAGGAGAATGAGCTGGCTCTTTCCCCTGACCAAGAGCGCCGCCTCCTCCGCAGCCGGGGCCCCCGGTGGCCTCACCAGCCTCCAGCAGCAGAAGCAGCGCTTGATCGAGTCCCTTCGGAACTCACACTCCAGGTCTGGTCGCTGCTTTTTCGACTGGAGGGAAAAGTAGGGCGGAGGGCGGGCTACTCTAACCACCCTCCGGCCGCCAGGCCCGGTCTCCTGCCTTTTCCTTTTGGTAGACCACACTCCTTTGGGGTAACACTCCCGCCATCCCCCTCCCACCGCATGCTTACTCCTCTGCTCCGGAGCGCCCCTGCCTTCGGCCCACCACTGCTGAGCGCTCGCGCTTCCGACGTGGTCATCCTTCATGACACATCGGCGCTGACAGTAATCTCATAGGCGTCCCTGGGTGTCTCAGGCCTTCTCGCTAATCTCTCCCTCTGCGCACCTGATGGTAGCATTGGCTGAATTGTTAAAATTTCGATTGCGAAGAGTTAGCTCCCAAGTTTTACAAAGTGGAAGATAAAACTATTGCAACATTAAAGGAAAGGGAAGGTAAAGTTTTCAACAGTGAATTCTTCAAGTGACAGTCAGTCCTCTCGGGTCTATAAAAACTTTATCTTGGTCCAGTAACCTCTCCTCGTCTTGCAACTGACTGTGCATCCTTCGTTTCCTTATTACTCTTGACCTTACGCAGGAACTTCTGTATAGTCATCTGAATTGTTTTGTCTTTTTTTTTTTTTTTTTTTTTTTTGTCTTTTTCGTTTTTATCGGTACCGGGGATCGAACTCACGACTGCCTGCTTGCAAGGCAGGCGCTTATGCCGCTGAGCTAAATCTCTAGCCCCTGTTTTGTCTTCTTAAAGGTTTTCATTTCATTGTGGCACGTTAGGAATATTTTACCGTTTAAGTTATTTTTAACTGTTTTTACTATCATCTGGTTTGCCGCAGCCTTTTATATTTTGCTGTGGCTTCTAGTAGTTTTCAAATATGGAACTGCTTTGCCTGGGCGTGGTGGCCCATGCCCATAATCCCAGCACTTGGGAGGCCTAGGTAGGAGGAACGCTGTGCGTTCTGGGGCAGCCTGGGCTAAAATGAGGTCTAGGCCCACGTGAATTGCATAGTGAGATTCTGTCTCAAAAAGACAAACAAAAACTGCATTATATGGAGTTAACAATTATGTTTACTTAATAGTTATACAGCCTGTGTTTTATGTAAAGATGACACATGGTTAAAATCTAGCCCATTAAATAAGCTTTTCATACATATAAAAATATGTTTCATGAGAAAACTGAGCAATTCCTATTGAAGAAACTATTAAGAGCTATTTTATCAGTTATACTTGTGTTTTTTTCCCCAAACAAGTAAGTGATAATGTAGAATAGTTTTAAATGTATCACTACAAAAAAAATTTATTGCACAATCCGACTGACTAAAATAAGGCCTTTTGCTGACTAAATTTTAGGTATTTCGTGATTCTTTGTCTCAATTATTCTTGTTCAGGACTTTTCAAATAAGGAAAATTGGGGTTTAACAGAAAAGAGTTGGGAGACTTTTATTTTGAAAAATTAAGTTCATAAAGTTCTTACAAGTGTCATAACAGTCACAGCTGTTTCTGTAATGGAAGACAGTTTACAACAGAAAAGCATAACGAATTTATTTCACCAGAATTTTATTTGGCATGGGAGCCTTCAAAAATGAAAATCCAAAAGCTGAGAAAAAAAAAACTTTTTATGCTTAGGTCAGATGAAGAATGGACACCTCTGTAGAAATATGATTTGCAAGTGGGCGTGATATAATGGTAATAAATGGAAGTGGGGAAACAGTGCAACACCTGGCTGTTCAGAGCCTACATGACCTGGGTAGCATTCCTTCTTAGGTATGAGTACCAGGCAAAATCCTGTTGGAATGAGGATCTTTTAGGGAGACAAATGAAAATGACTTCTTCAGATATCATGGCTTGCCTTGTGGTAGACAGAGTTCTGCTTTCTTTGATGTGCCTTGCAGAGAGAAAGTTTGTTTTTTATTCCTGCTTTGAGGAAGAAAGAGGAAAGTCTTGTTCATAAGGCTGGAGAGCGAGAGACTCTGCTTATGAGACCTTCTACTCTTGTAGTTTAAAGTACTTACAATGCCGAAGTGCCAAACTTTGGATTATTGTTTTCTGAGTCCCACCATAGGTCACTGTTATTCTAAATTATGTTCTGTGCTAACCTGAAGGAGTTACTCTTACAAAATATGATTATAAAATAAGGTGACTCAACAAACAAGTTTGTATCCTTAGAAGTTATCACCTTGGAATACTACATACTATACTAGCCTTATTCTTGTTAGAATTCTTGTTAGAACTACATCTTTGGAAAGAATTGCTTTTAAGCCTTTGGCATATTCTAATAAATACTGTTAGAGCTGGAAAATTTTTATTTCTTGAATTTTTGAAATGCTGTAATGATTGGTAGATAAGGAAAGTGGTTGATCTAAACTTTATTTTTGACCTCCCAAATAAAATGAGTTTGTAGGGACCAGGGATTTAGCTCAGCAGTGTAAGTACCTTCCTGGCAAGCTCGAGGCCATGAGTTGATCCCCAGCAGCAGAAAAAAATAAATAATATGAAGTTGTATAGCAATAACTGTTCATCTGGGGAATTCTGGAGTTGAAAGAGGATAGTAAAAACCCTGAAATGAATGCAGAAAGGCTGTATTCATGTTATTTTTTGAACCAGAAATTTTGAATTTCTGACATGTACATATTAGGATTATGACTGTATACTTATAAATGTTTTATTCTATTAAAGTATTTTTATAAATGTTTTGTATAATTAAAATATTTCACATTTACAAATGATGCTTGGATAATTCTAGAGACATTTAAGTCGAATATATGCTTCCACTTTTCAAAGAATTATACAGTCTTGGGGAGGGGAAACATTGCCAAATACCCACATATTCTTTTTAAATGTACCCTTTTACCTTTTAATTAATGACATATCCTTTTAAACTAGTTATATTAGTCAAAATAGTTGTCTGCCTTATGTTCAGAGATTTTTGTACAAACATATCATGATTAGCTATTCTGAAGTGCATTGTGTAAAAGTTTCAAATTTTTTTATGAACCATACAAATCTTGCTAAATTATACATGTCATCTGGGTATAGTGATACACCTGTATTCCCAGCACTTGGAATACTGAGGCTGGAAGATCACTGTGAGTTCAAAGCCAGCCTGAACTGCATGCATATCAAGACCCTGTCTCAAAAAAACAAAACAAAACACTGTGATTTCTTGTATGCTGCCATCCTCTGTCATATTTTATATTCTTTAAATATCAAGTTATTGTCTCTCGACTGAAAATATCCAGTTTTTTTCTTCTGCTTTACTGAGTAAATTTTCCCCAACCTAGCCTTTCATTTCCCTTCAAATTCTTACCTGTTTCTAGCTCCTTATAACTCTGAAAAATCAATTTCAACCGAATTTCTTTAAGTCTCTTCCTGTAATGGATATTTATTCATTTTTAGTTACTGCTTTCTCACATCCCTCTGGTGTCATTAAAAGGTTAGGTTAATTTTATGGATTTTTCCTTAGTCTTCAGGTCTGTAGTATTCAGGTCAAGTGGGAAGCTATAAGAGACAACAACAACAAAAAAATATGATCAAATCATAGTACTATGTTTAAAAAATATACTATGAAAATGTAAACTGAAAGCTATTGAGATTATGCTCAAGTATTTATCTGCTGGGTGGTAATTATGTTATTCATTTTAAAACTACAGTGTCTGACCTGTGTTCAGGAAGATAACTAATTCTGCTGTCTCTTCTACTTCCTGATGTTCACTTTATAAGAAACTGTTGGTTTTCTACCCGAATCCATTTCCTTTGTCTTCCTGAAAAAGCGCTTGTTTTTATTCCATTTTCCCTCTTTGCAGGACCAACGAGATAGTTGAGGTTGGGCTCTTTCAACCTTAAGAGGTAAATAGTGATTGTTTATACCAGTGTTGATGGTCTCAGCCCTTTTCCCCCTTGTTGTGGAATTTGGATTTAACCTAATTTGTTCAGTTAGAGTTGGAGGGGAAATCTGTTGAAACTGTTCAAAATATTTTCTCAGTAATAAAGAAATATATGGGAGGAAAAAGAGATGGGAGAGAGAAATACCTTTAATGTTTTGGATTTATTATGGGACTTTTGGAACTATTTGGATTTTGAGCTAAAGCTGACTGTTGAATGGGGTAGAATAAAAAGTTTTTTGCTGCTAAATTAACCAATTCTGGAATCTCCTTTCCTCTGTACATGAATATCTCCTCACTGTTACAGCCATTTTCACCCTGGGTTTGCTACTTGCAGTTGAAAATAACCCAAGTGATTATACTCAGCAAATCCAATATTTAAAGATTTTTTTAGAAGTGAAACAGTTAATATTGCTCTGTGTTGCATTCATATTCAGAAAATATTAAAAACTGATGGCCTTAATAGTGACTATTCTACTACTTAGGTCTTTCTTCTCTCACAATATTGAGTTAATTAACTTCTGTATTAATTTCGTTATCTCTAAAACAACACCCTGAACTCTACCCTCTGTAGTAATTACTTTAATTATGCATATTTGAAGTTGTACAAGTGTCCTTTTTTAGTACTCTTTGAGTTTCCCAGATAAAGAACTTATGCATGCATTTTAATAATCAGTTACATGATAATTCTCATGCTATTTTGCTTTTATTTTCAACAAGGGTATCTAATTTGAAGTGAGGATATTTGTTTTCACTCCGATACAACTAATAGAATCATGATAGATATAGGCCTATGTAAGAAGTCAGGAGGTACATATGTGTCATTAACTAGTCATGTAATCTTGGGTGATCTTATAATGACCACCGAAGAGAAAGGGTTGACTATCTGATCTCTTATTGCCCTGCTGAGCTGTGAAAGTCTGTTCATTCCTCAGGCTCCTCAATATAATAATAGTCTTAAAGATAGAAAGCCTGAGTATCTTATTCTACATGCTTCTAGCCTGCTAATCGTTTATGAATTTTGTGCAAGTCCACCTACAAGCCAGTTGTCCCTGGTTGGCCTACTTCTAACTTTCCATTTAGAAAATAAGTCCATTCCAAAGGGTTAACTCACAAATGAAATGTACTTGTTTAGAAAGGATTAGCAATGCACACAGCAGGTGAAGAAGTTAGAATATTCTAGAATATTGTCTGGCACAGTAGGTGTTCTGTAAATACCAACAGGATTTTACTTTTATCTTAAAAATAATAGTGTCTGTGTTAGTCAGCTTTCCATCACTGTGACAAAATGCCTGAGATAAGTAGGAAAATTTTGTTTTGACTCAGGTATGGGGGTTTCACTGTGTGGTCACTGGACTGCATTAACTTTGGACTTTTGGTGAGGAATACATCAGATAGGATTACGTGGTTTCCATCACTCATCATATTGTAGTCAAAAGGCAAAGGAGAAGAAAAGAGAGTCGAGGGTCCCTATATCTCCTTCAAGGACATTTTCCCAAGGAGCTTGCTTTCTTCCACTAGGTCCTACCTTCTAAACGTTCCCTTGGCTTCTAATAGCAATAGAGGCTGAGAACCACACTATAAACACATGTGTCTTACCACACTGTAAACTCGTGTCTTTGGGAGACATTCAAACTGTAAACTGTATGTAACACTGTCAGTCTCCATAGTCTTTAAATTTGTTTGGTAGTTTCTTAGCTGCCATTCTTGGGTCACAGTGTTCTTTTGGATTGCCTAAACCTTTAGCCTTACAATTTTCCTGGAGAATCAACCTTTGTGTAGTTCTTGACACCTTGCTCATAGTTGTAAGGTTTTCTCCCTTTAACCCATGGTTTTGAGTAAGCCTAAATGCCATATTTTTCTTTCAGTGTCAGCCTCAGTTTGTAAAGAATCACACAGAAACTCGATAATGCAGGACTTGCAATGAGAAGATACATGCAGGTGTTTTGACCAATCCCATGTTACATAATTTTTTAAAAATCTGTTAGCAACATTTAAAATTTGAGGTTATACATTAAAGTATCCAGATCTCCATTTTTTTTTTCTTTTAACAGCTTTATGTTTTTTAAAGTGCTGAAACTAGATATAAGACACAAAAATTTCCTATGTAGTCTCTCTTTCCTCTAACTTTAAAATGGAAAGATCTGGAAATATCTGACAACAGTTTCCAGGTAACAACTTGCTTTAAGCCAAAAGTAGCTGTCCCCTTTGTTAGGCTGCTTACTTTCTTTTTGTGTTGTTGTTTGTTGTTTTTGATTGTTTTGTTTTTTTGAGACTGGGTCTCACTGTGTATTACAGGCTGGCCTTGAGCTTGCTTATATATCCAGGCTGACCTGGAACTCCCTGCTCACTTTTCTATTTTAGCAGTTTTCAGTTACTCTCTCTTCTATAAGCAGCTGCTTTTATTCCTGTGCATTACCTAATTCCTGTAGGTATTTGAGATTAAAGCTTTTGAGAAAGAAACCACAGAACTTGTTGTGATAAAAAAATTCTTACAAAAATCTGGTATGTCTTAGTCTAGTAAAGCTAAATAATCTATAAAAATATAAACACTTTTACTCCTGAGCTTATACAGTAAAACATGATAGCATTTTTTTTTCTTTCTTTCTTTTTTTTGGGGTGCCAGATATAGAACTCACAATCTTGCACTTGCCAGACAGGCACTTATACCACTGAGCTAAATCCCAGGCCCCATGATACCATTTTTTAAAAAATCATGTCAAGTGCTTCTATGGCTTAGATCTGGAATCCAAAAGGCTGTGTTTTGAAGGCTTTGGATGTTAACCTATAGAGTAAATGGGGAGTTATAACATCTTTAGAAAGTAAGATCTTAATCTAGATTTTAGCATTGGGGAGGCCCTTAAAGGGAATTATGATATCCCTGCCCCTTTCACTCTCACAGTCTGTTCATAGGAGAATCGTTATATGACTGTGATGTGTTGCCTTACCATTAGCCCCCTAAAAAATGGAGGTACTGAAACCTCAGAAACTGACAGCCAAAATAAATCTTTTCTTTTTATAAGTTGACTTATTTGTCACAGTAATGGAAAGCTGATGAACCCAGAAAATTGAGACCAGTAAATGGGGTTTTCTATTAAAAGTAGAAAAATTGTAGAGTGCAGTGCCAAGTGCTGTAATTCAGCATTTGGAAGGCCGAAGCAGAATTACAGTGAATTTGTGGCCAACCTGAGCTACATAGTACATTCAGAACCAGCCTGAATTACAGAGACCCTATTCGGAAAAAAAGAAAAAGCGCTTATAATCATATTTGTAATGAATATTCAGGAAATGTTTCTTGTTTTAAAGTAAGTAAAATACCTTCTGTTTTATGTAATCTAGTAAGACTACATTACTAGATGGCTAGAATTGTGTTAGAATTTAATGATCCACTTCTCAATATAACTCACCTTCTGTTTTCTTTAATACATTATTTGTGAAGAAAGTTTATCAAAGATTTTAATAAACATCAAGAGTGTAATAGTAGGAGAAATCAACTGGATGCTCCTAACTGAAGAATTTTAAAGTTACTTTAATATTTCCTATGTAAAGTCTGGGTATTTAGCTCAGCAGCATAAGCAACTGCCTGGCAAACACAAACTTGTGAGTTCCATCGTCGGTACCAAAAAAAAAAAAAAAATTTCCTTTGTAATTTTTCTGTATAAATCCAAGAGATATCTGAAACACTGACAAGTTAAATTTTTAATACCACAAGTCCAGACAGGACCCAACTTAGATGTATGGTCAAATGCTTCTTTAATAATAGCTAACACACTAAATATTCATTTGGTATTATGCTCAGTAGTTTTACCAGATTCTACTAGGATGTTCATGCATGAAGAAGTTTCATAGTCATTGAAATATTATGCTTCTTCTGCATCCTTCACTCATTAATACTAAGTATTTTCCCTTTTGGAAAGTTAAATAAAGATTGGTTAGCATTCCAAGTGAACTACCAAAGGATCTATATTTTTTTTAGTTGTAAAAATATGTGCCTACAACTGGGTATGGTGCTACAAGCCTATAATCATAGGACTTGGGAGGCTGAAGCAAGGAGGATCACAGTGAATTTGAGGCCAGCTTGGGTTACATAGCAAGTTCAAGGCTAGCCTGGACTACATGGGAAAATCCTGACTCCAAAAAAGCAAAATCAAAACCCATAAACGTATATATATATACGTTTATATATATATATATAAACGTATATATATATATACGTATAACTATGCTTGCTTGCTGACATGAAACGAGCAATTTTTGCCATGATGTTTCTGCCTTGGAGCAAGTAAACCATGAACTGAAACTCTGAAAGTGTAAACTACAACAAACCTTTCTTCCTGTAACTTGATTGTGTCAATCATTTGGTCTCAGCAATGAAAAGCTGATCATTACAGGATTAACATCCAGAATTTATAAAGAACTTAACACTAAAAGAGCAAGTAATTCATTCAACAAATGGAGAAATGAGGTGAACTGACAGTTCTTTAAAATATATATATATATATTGAACTCCAAGCAGCTAGCAGCTAGCTCAACACTTGTGTGCGTTGAATCCCAGCGCACAGGGAAACCTTATAACTTTACTCCCAGGTGGTAAGACCATGTCCCATGTTGGAAATCATCTTAGGATGCACGGGAGGTACCCATAGGCCTAACTGGGCCACACCCAGTGAACTTCAAGCAGCTAGCAGAGGACCGAATCCAGTCCCAGGACTGGTTGAATTCCAATGCACAGGGAACCCTTGGAACTTCCCTCCCAAGTGGTAAGACCATGCCCACATCTGAAATCACCCTAGGACTCACAGAAGATACCCATGGGCCCAATACGCCACAGCCAGAGAACTCCAGCTAGCAGGGGCTGGAATCCAGTCCCAGGCCCTGAATGCATGTAGGTTGAATTCCAGCACACAGGAAAGCCTTGGAACTTCCCTCCCAAGCGGTGAGGTCATGCCCTGCATCTGAAATCAG